GGAGATATGGCCATGTAGAGATCAGATGGAGATTAAAGCAAAGCAAAGGCAGGTGTGAGGTATGACATACTCATCATGAGAACAGGTGCTTACATCTGCATTAAATCAAAAGGAGAGATTAACTAAAACAAGAGCCGCCTAATGGAAGTACCTTTGACATAAGCATGAAAATAAACTCAAAGCTCTGCCCTGTCTGGGCCTCTCTGAAGTGGGAGGTAATGAACTGAGTACAGGATAAGTGCACTGATGCTGAATCAGAGATCTTTACATAGATGGCATTTACCCTGCTGTCCCAAAATAAACTCATGGACGTGAACACCTCTGATCGAAGAAAGAAATACACTCCTTTCTTTTTAATTTATTTCCAATGTTGGTTCAGTAAGTAGCACTGTTGCCTCACAACAAAAGGGTGTGTGTGGAGTTTGCATAAATGTGTGTTTTCGTGGTAAATGTCAGTGATGTTTTTCTGAGTCACGTCCTGGGCCTTCCCGGTCAGAAGTGACCGGAGGCCTAAAAATGAAACTTCTTCCATCCCAGTAAAACCAATGCAATTTATTTTTGTTCTATAATATTTATTCTTTATAATTTAGTATTTTGAGACAATTTGATTGAATTTATGAATATTTATGCAATATTTATGGTCTATTTTTTCAATAGAAATTTATGTATATTTATATATATATAATTTATTTATTTTTTTATTTTATTCTTAATGCAGTATTTTTGTTTAATATAGAGTCTAGGCCTGCAGAAAAAAAATATATTTTTTAAAGAAAATTAGCACCATCTGGTTACAATATAGAGAAAAGGCGTAGAATCATGGTGTAACCACTAGATGGCATGTACAGCTCTCTATGGAGAGGCATGTGAATTCCCCAGCTGTTTACACTTTTTTTTTTTTTGGTGGATTTGAATATATAGTTGAAACAATCTCAAAAACTATTTCTTATTTTAAAAAATTGTAAAATTTTTACTTTTGTAAATTGTGAATTTTTGTGTTTTTGTCAATTTCCCATTCATTTCCTATGGGGGTCATTTTTGACCAAAGACCAAAATCGTGACTAATTTTTTTTTCACTTACACGCTCGGATCATGAACTCAATTTTTTTGTGTTCACATCCCTAATACCAGAAATGTCACCAAGTTTCGTAACATTCAGATGAAGCTGTGATTTTAAAATTCAAAACAGATTTTTTGTAGTCTGAATTTATTGGTGTGTATGTGTATAAAAGTGTGTTTGTATGTGTGTGTGTGTAAATTTTTTGCACCCTTGATGTTGTAGAGTGTCACCCCTTTACTGCGGTATACTTATTTTAAGAATCGTGGCAGATTTGTAGATTGTACAAAAAAAATTCAGAGAATCTTTGTTGTTTTTTTGTAAATTTCCCATTCATTTCCTATGGGTCGGTCATTTCTGACCGAAGACCACGAGTGTGACTATTTTTTTTAAGACCACTTATCATGCTCAGATCATGACCTCATTTTTTTTTTTTTTTTTTTTGTATTCACAAACCAAATGCCAAAAAAGTCACCAAGTATCATAACCTTCCTATGAAGTTGTGATTCAAAACAGAAAATTATTCGGTCAGAAGTAACCGAGGACCATCAGAGGGTTAAATGGATCATAGAAACTACAGGCACCAATTATATATACATACAGTATCTACTGATGTCTACTTAGGTTTACAATAGTTTTGGCAAACAGTAGGTTTCCACCATGTCTTATAAATAGGATAATGACGTACTGTATATAAGATGGATGAATTGAATCATCCCTGTAGCAAAGGGTGGTAAAGTGGCTATTAGCATAATATAAAGTGCATCTATAAAGACTTTTTATATAAAAATTTGAAGACCTTGTTTGAAATTTACATTAGCCCTTGTCTTTTTAGCACTATATCAGTTTAAAAATAAAGAAGTTTTATACTGGGGTTCCTCAAGGCTTACCTTTAGATCCTTTACATCTCTAAATTTGGCTAGAGCTGAACATCTCACTCGCAATGAGCTTCAATTCATCAGTACATCATTATCCTCCTATTTATAGGACATGGTGGAAACCTACTGTTTGCCAAAAGTATTGTAAACCTAAGTAGACATCAGTAGATACCATGTGTATATATAAGATCATGATGCTTTTGAGAAAAACATCACTGGACATTGCTCTGAGAAAAATGATGATTTGCTCTGAGAAATTTTTTTTTTGTATTTTTATTGTATTTATTTATGTCTTCGGTCAGTCATTTAGAAATCATGTCATAAATCATGTAACACAAAAAAGAGAGAGAAAAAAAATAAAATTAAAAATAACTTGCACACAACAGGTTTGACCACTACACTTTTGGCCTTTTTTGTTTGTTTTGTTCATTAATGAGCATGCAAACAAAAGGGTAAGATCAGAGACTGATGTTGGGTGGTTTTCATAAGGAGAGAATCTCACTATTTGTAATCATGTCTTAACAGAACAGAATAAGAAGTAATATTTGACATGATGATACAAGCTTCTCCTAATTATGGAATTATCAATGTTATCAAATGGAGGAGCATCTAACATCTGGGCAACATGAAATGCTGTGTGTGTCCCATCCTGCTGTAGTCTGAAAGCGGACAGAGCATCATAGACTGAGAGTCCAGTTAGCAGCAACTCCACACTCACACAGCTTGAGGATATTTATGGCACTCCTTAGTTACGGTTCTGTTTTGAACTTATCATGACCATAGCGGAGTATCCCGTTGTCAAAGCACAATCCCCATCCCACCACGCCGTATGGGAGGAAAGAGACCTGATGTTGCATTCCTGCACCTCGAGTCTCCAGCCCCGGGAAATAAAATTCCTGTGAAAACAAGTGACCTCGTAGCAAAGAACAGCATAATAAGGCCTCTGTTTGCTGCAGATATCCGCACGTTTTAGTGGGCCAAACGTTCACTGTTATGCAAGTGTTTTGGTTTTTGGTGGGATGAATTTGTTTTGCTAGCATGCAATTTGAATAATTCCAAGTAAAAAGTGCATTCAGTAGTTTTGGAGCTAAATTAAAAGGTTTTATACTTTAATCGCTGGTAATAAAGGACAACACTTAAGCTGTTTGGGGTCAGATTGACCCAGACTTTTAAAGAGTGATTGCATAAGGAAATATAATTTTTTTTATGGGAAACTATATATTATTTTTTTAATTTACTTCTCAACTAATCATTTATGCTGTGTGGTGTTTTTGTGTGGATTTTTTTTAAAGTTTTCTACCTGTTTACTGCACAATTATATAACTAGGCCATAAATTGGCTCATGAAAAATGTTTTTTTTTAAAGAAAAAATCGCTGTTAAAAAAGGACAACACTTAAGCTGTTTGGGGTCAGAGTGACCCCAGACTTTTAAAGAGTGATTGCATAAGGAAATATAATTTTTTTTTAATGGAAAACTATATATCATTTTTTAAATTTTCTTCTCAACGAATCATTTATGCTGTGTTTTTATGGATTTTTTAAAAAGTTTTCTACCCATTTACTGCACAATTACATAACTAGGCCATAAATTGACTCATGAAAAATGATTTTTTTTTTAAAGAAAAATCACTAAAATGATCATAAATTAATCTTAATAGTTTTTGGATATTGCTCTATGTGTTAGGGATAGAATACTACCATCTGGTGATTAGTCGAAAAACAGTTTTTCTTATAGTTAAGGAATTAAAGTGCAATGACCTCATCTATCCAATAGGGGTCCATAGAGACTCATTCATTTTCACTTCATTTTTCTTGATGCTTCAAATTCTCCTCACAACTTGATATATGTGATATATATATATATATTGGGAATTGCACAAAATAATTTTGTCAAAGTTAGAGTTTGTTGTTGTTGTCTGATATATTTTGAATGATTTGTTTTTGCAAATTATTATACATACATTTGCATAAACATTACAAGTCAGCACTATGACATGACTGTAATCACACACTATTCATTTTAGAAAATGTTCATCAACAAATGTTTGTAAATATTTATCAACAATTATTACATTTTTTAGAACAAGAGATTTAGAACACAATATAAAAGGGCTGTGCAAAATTTAATTGCGATTAATCGCATCCAAAATAAAAGTCTGTGTTTACATAATATATTTGTGTGTGCTGTATATAATTATTTTGTATATATAAATACACACACATGCATGTATATATTTAAAATGTGTAATTTATATATAAAATATTTATATTTATATAATATAGATTATGTATTTATATATATATATATACAGAATTTAAGCGCAAATAATTCTTAAATATATACATGCATGCATAGGTATTTATTTATACAAAATAATTATATACAGCACACACAAATATATTATGTAAACACAGACTTTTATTTTGGATGCGATTAATCGCAATTAACTTTTGCACAGCCCTAAAATAAATTTAATAAACCAACTAAATAAACCAATATAATACAAAACAACAGCACTAATAAACTGTAATGAACAGGATGCATACATATCCATATATGTGTGTGTGTGTTTGCACAGAAGAAATTAAGGTTTACAATAACAAACAAGAGACAATATCACCAGATTTGGGAGTAGACATCTTTTCATTCAGAAATGTGAAAGTCTACGGTAGTTTGAAGTCCACTTGAGGAGCACATTTTGTCTATTTTCTGACTGACATGCTTCAGGAAATAGCTGCAATGCGGGAAACATAAACAATGTTTCTTTCTCTGCACCTGACGGATTTCATGAGCTTGTTTTGTACTATTGCCACTAAACACACTGCCTCTGTGTAATTTTGTCCCAACAAACATTAAATTGTGGGCCCTGCAGGCCTGTGTAACATGACATCATGTGGTGGGAAATATATATATTAGTTTCGCACATCACTTGTATCACGTCTAAACATTGTTGCATTGCGACAGTATCTGATTAAACATTCTAATATCATCCGCCGAAACATCTTTAACCATCCTGTAGATTAATTTTCCAATAAACGGCAGTTAAAGCATGTGCGGGAACCAGACGTTTTCCCATGTGCGCGCTCTGGAATCTGTGGTATGATTAATTGAAAGGCTGGTCGACAGCATCTTTTGCTTTTTCAAACATTATGGAAAACCATCTGGAATTGAAATATTTTCACCCCTCTGGGTCGCGTGGCATGGCTTGACTCCGGTGGGCTACACCCCGTTCTGGTGGTATTTAAAGAGGGGCTCTCTGCTCTCCACTTCACAACAGTCCTGCAGTCTAACCGTGATCACACACACACACACACCAGAGAATCAAAACAAACCCGTGGAGTGTGCTTTGAGGAAATGGCTGGAACAGGATTCACCGGATCATGCGTCGCTCTCTGCTTGCTTATACATATGGTGAGTGAACACATCAATAATATATTCAAAGAAAAATGACCTGTATTGCTTTAATTAAAGGAGAAAAACTTTTGCTGATAATTTACTCACCCCCATGTCATCCAAGATGTCCACGTCTTTCTTTTTTCAGTCGAAAAGAAATTCTGTTTTTTGAGGATTTTTCTCCATATAATGGACTTCAATGGGAACCAAACGGTTCAATGTCCACATGAGAGTTTCAGTGCAGATTCAAAGGGCTTTAAACGATTCTAGGCGATAAATAAGGGTCTTATCTAGGACTCTTTGAGTCATGACTCGAAAAAAGATGAAAGAAAGAGTTCGAACAGGAGAGACACATCACAGTGCATTTGAGCTTATAAAACTTAAACTTTGTTATTTATGTTTTAAATGAGCGATCGTTTCGCTTAATAAGACCCTTATTTATCGTCTGGAATCGTTTAAAGCTCTTTGAACAGTTTGCACTGAAACTGTCATTTTGACCTTGAACCGTTTGGTCCCCATTGAATTGCATTATATGGAGAAAATTCTGGAATGTTTTCATCAAAAACCTTAATTTCTTTTCGACTGAAGAAAGAAAGACGTGGACATCTTGGATGACATGGGGGTGAGTAAATTATCAGCAAACGTTTTTTTATGTGGAATTGACATGAATTAGCTCGTTTGTTATGTATTATTTTACTATCATTTCAAATTACACAACAAGACACATTAATTCAATGTACAAGTGTATGTTTGTGCCACTATCTGCATAGTGAGGTGGTTAGCTGGGGGTGTGTTTAACATCTTAACTATAGTTTTGGGTTATTGGTCTAATTAGGTCTCATAACATGGGGGATAACTGGTTTGTGTTCACTCAATGCAAACTGGATATTCTGCATACTTTTAATGTATAATGCTGCATTTAAAAAAATATGTATTATTTTCACTTTTTAAACCTGTCATATTTTTCTACACCTTCTATGATTGTAAACATACGGAGGCGTATTGCATTCACTTGAAGAAAAAAAATCTACTCTGTTTTTCTGAATTAACGAGTTAATTTTTCATGAGAAAAAAAATCTGTTTTTCTGAATTAATGAGTTATTTTTTATGAGAAAAAAAGTTTTTGCTCTGTTTTTCTGAATTAATGAGTTAATTTTTCATGAGAAAAAAGTTTTTGCTCTGTTTTTCTGAATTAACAAGTTAATTTTTAATGTGAAAAAAATGTTGCTCTGTTTTTCTGAATTAACAAGTTAATTTTTAATGTGAAAAAAATGTTGCTCTGTTTTTCTGAATTAATGAGTTATTTTTTTATGAGAAAAAAAGTTTTTGCTCTGTTTTTTTCTGAATTAATGAGTTAATTTTTCATGAGAAAAAAGTTTTTTGCTCTGTTTTTCTGAATTAATGAGTTAATTTTTCATGAGAAAAAAGTTTTTGCTCTGTTTTCTGAATTAATGAGTTAATTTTTCATGGAATTTATTTTTTTTGTTTGCTCTGTTTTTCTGAATTAATGAGTTAATTCAGAAAAACAGCAAAAATAAATTTTCTCCTGAAAAATTAACTCATTAATTCAGAAAAACGGAGCAAAAACTTTTTTTTTCTCCTGAAAAATTAACTCATTAATTCAGAAAAACAGAGTAGATTTTTTTTCTTCAAGTGAATGCAATAGTAGTAACATGCTTCATGTGTAATTCCAAAATATCGTTTCTCATTTCATCCCACAAAATCTGTAATGCATTCTATCCCCCCCATGTGGCCATCAAGAGGAGTTGCACATGGACTGTGTGATCTATTAATTTGTCCCATGCAGATTTTAGAATAAATCTTTTGCTCTGTGCATGCTATGGTATGATAAAACTCTTTTATGATGGATTTCTAAATCTGATGCAAGTGTGTCATCTCTCTATGCAGGTGATGTGCCAGGAATGCTCTCAGCCCTGTGACTGCCCAGCTGAGGGCCCTTTATGTCCGGTGGGCACCAGTCTAGTGCTGGACGGCTGCGGCTGCTGTAAAGTCTGTGCCCGGCAGGCAGGAGAGCCCTGCTCTTTCCTGGAGCCATGCGACCATCATAAAGACCTGTATTGTGACTACGGTGTGCTCAGTGACACTGAGACGGGCATCTGTATGGGTGAGTATATGATGTGTTTTGGAATGTAATTTAGGGGTTACTCGTTTGCAGTACACTTTTTGTCCACAAGAGGGAGCCTGTCATTGTTATGGAGTTGTCTCATGTCTGTTGTGTGTGTCGCAGCTCAAGAGGGTCAAACGTGCGACCTGGGCGGTGTGATTTACCGCAGCGGGGAGACGTTTCAGCCCAGCTGCAAACATCAGTGCGTCTGCATGAACGGGGAGATTGGCTGCGTACCAACCTGTGCAAGCAACATACGGCTGCCCTCTCCAGACTGCCCCTACCCACGACGTGTCCAAATCCCCGGCAAGTGCTGCGAGGAGTGGGTGTGCGACCAGATCCCACAAGAAGACACCTTCCAGTCAGCAATGGCTGGTAGGTCAATCGGCAAGTCAAATTTTCTTTTATTTTGCTTCACCGTGTTGAAACAGCTGCTTCTTTATCCAATCTCCCGCAAGCCCTGTCATTGGGTCTGGGGGACAGCAATGAATAACATATAATGAAATATGGTCCTTATTTAACCCCTTAGCTGTCACCCCCCCTTTTGAGAATGGGGGTTAAAATGCACTATTCAAACTTAAATGTTGGTAATTTAAGAATGCTTTGGAATATACCCAAGTTTGGTCTTGTTTTAAAGAAAACACTCCGCAGAATATTGCTGAAGTGAAAACACTTCAAAAAATGAAAGTATGAAAAAGTTATGGAAGTTTAAATATACTGTACTATATATATTTTATTTTATATAAAATATATATTTTACAAAATATTTTTTGCTCTAAAATTTCTATAAAATCAAAGCCATAAATCTTGTCAAGTTATGTTATCACAAAAATTGAAGTTCCCGTGAGATTTTGTTTAGGCGTAGTACCAAAAATAGCCACCGGGTGCCATTGAATTCCATTGAATTTAGTTGTATACATTCTGCCTTAACAAATTAATACATTCTGTCCAAATATCAATTCTGTCACAAAATTTGGAACCTTGAGACTCTGACCTTTCTAACGATATCAATTTTGTCAAGATTAGAAAAGGTTTTGATCATAAATTATGAAATATAATGACGCCAAAAAGGGGAGGAGCCTGATAAAACAAGTACCGTTTCTATGGTAATGCAGTGATCAATTATAAAACAGTTTTCACACGATGAATTCTGAGTTTATAAGCTTTCAAATGATACCTAATTTATGATAACTACTAAAATATGTGATATAATAAAAAAGGCGATAAAAAAAATATATTTTAGAGGATAATACATATAAATATTATCATTTTTAGAGGATAATATTATTCTATAATTTTTTATTTTTTATTGAAAAATACTAGATTATATGTTTTATTATGAACTTTTAGCATAAAAACAGAAGTTTCAATGATTAAAAGTGGGTGCATCGACTTTTTGTGACAAAGGTCAAAACTCCTGTTATGATGCAGATTTTTTTTAGGTGCACTCTTGTCATAAATTCATTAATTACTCTTCCTACATAATTTTTAACACAAAACAGGGGTAGAATATCTATTCAGAAGTCTTAGACCTTTCCAACGATATATAATTTGTCATAATTAGATTAGGATTTAATAGAAATATAGTGAAGTAAATTTAGGTGTCCCGGTACCGGGACGGTGACAGTAGCCACTCTGCATGACAACATTATGCTTTCCATTTTTGTCATTGGCACATGGATTTAACATCCACTTTCTCTTCTTTCAGCATTTAGAGAAATAACTGATCAGGGTGTCCAGTCTGAGAGCGCAAGGGACAACTGCATCGTCCAGACCACTGAATGGAGTGAATGCTCTGCAACTTGTGGCATGGGTGTGTCCTCTCGTGTAACCAACGACAACGAGCAATGCCAGCTGGAACGGCAGACCCGCATGTGCATGATCCGGCCCTGCCACGCAGAGCTGGAAAAGGACATAAAGGTAAGAAGGGTTGAGAGCACAAAGTAAAGCTGAAATATGCTAGACTAAAGGGAAATATTCTTAAATTATTTCCGTCCTCTATGTAGTGTGCATGCACTGAATGTGTCCACCCATGCATTTGATAAGTTTGGACCCCCATGCTAAAGTTGCCTAAAAAGAGGAATAAAAATCATCTTTTGGATATTGATCTTAATGCCTTAATTAGAAAAATGAGGAAAACTCCAACCTTTAAGGACACAAATTTTCTTTGTGAATGAATAATGTATCATAAATAAATAAATGTTTTTCCTTAAAATACAGGGTGCATAAGTAAAGTCAGGACACCCCTATGTTAAATTCCCATAGAGTCAGGCAGATTTTTATTTTTTAAAGCCAGTTATTTCATGGATCCAGGATAATATGCATCCTGATAAAGTTCTTTGGAATTAAAATATCCCCACATCATCACATAAGATCATCTTTCAATGCAAATCAAACCAGCTATTAGGCTAACTGAAGTAAAACCATGCCAATCTCTAGGTGTGGTGAATGATGTGTGATGATGTGGGGATATTTTAATCCCAAAGGCCAAGGGAACTTTTTCAGGATGCATATTATCCTGGATCCATGAAAAAACTGGCTTTTAAAAATAAAAATCTGCCTGACTCTATGGGAATTTAACATAGGGGTGCCCTGACTTTACTTATGCACCCTGTATTTTAAGGAAAAACATTTATTTATTTATGATTCATTATTCATTCACAAAGAATATTTGTGTCCTTAAAGGTTGGAGTTTTCCTCATTTTTCTAATTAAGGCATTAAGATCAATATCCAAAAGATGATTTTTTATTCCTCTTTTTAGGCAACTTTAGCATGGGGGTCAAAACTTATTCACACCACTGTACTTCAGTCACGTTGTCAAAAGATAAAAGGACGACTACACTGTAACAACGCAACGTAATTATTACTAGCTAATTCCGCTTCACTCTCGGCTTATTTAACAGCAGCAAAACTGGACTCGATAGTCACAAATATTGTCATGCTTATTTGAGTTTAGAGAACTGATGGGGATGATCTTTTAATTGTTATTCAAGCGATGTCAACGAGTGTTGCCAACAGGAACGGTGTAGAGCGCCCTCTGGTGGACAAACTATACAACTCCAACACTCATGACATGGTTCAAGCGTGTTTCGTCCGTTTTTATTTTATTTTTTAAATATTCATTTATCGGCCATTATAACTGCCGATACCGATAGTTTGGAAAGTGCCTAATATCGGCCTGCCGATAAATCGGTCTGGCTCTACTTGGTTCTTGAAGAAAATCTGAGCAATTTAGTTAATCAAAATAAACTAGTTGAGCAGGTTAGTTAAACTGTCAACATGTTTAGATCTATTTAATGGCACAACATTTTATTGTACAGCCCGTCTGCATGCGCGAGTGATTTGAGCAAGGAAAATGTCGTCGGCCTTTACTCCATCGCCTCCTTGAATAGGAATAAAGTTTGTTTCGGTAAAATGCATGCCTAATGGACCCCAGTGCATGAACCCGAGAGTTTGTTTATCAAAAAAATATTAATAGCCCACCTCCTCCCCATTGCAGAGAGGGAAGAAGTGTGTGCGGACCCCGAAGAGCCAGCGCGGGATGCGTTTCGAGTTGTCTGGATGCCAGAGTATCAGGCTGTATAAGCCAAAGTTTTGTGGGGTGTGTACAGACGGCCGCTGCTGCACTCCTCACGCCACCGTCACAGCCGAGGTGGAGTTTCGCTGTCCCGAGGGCGACGCTTTCAGGAAGAGGATGATGTTTATTAAGACCTGCTCCTGTCATCACGATTGCCCCCGTGAGAACGATATCTTCCTCGCCTCACACTCACGGAGAATGATTGGGGACTACGATAATGACATGTGAGGAGCTGTCCAGTGTAACACTGACAATCAAGCACACGTGCACATGAGGCAGCTCCGTGTTTTACTGAACCCTGAAATACTCGCGTCCTGTGAGCATAGAAAACTAGAATGTTTGACATGAAGTGGGCATCGTTAATGGCCCTCAACTTCTCTTCTCTTGTTTGTAATTTTTGATGCTCTGAAGTCATCTGGCTGTTTGACTGGTCATGCTGGCCTAAAGCAGACCTGAAGCACTGAGAACTTTGTGTTAATAGGATAGTTCACTCAAAAAGGATAATAATAGGGTTACACAACAGTGGAGTTTTTGAAGAATCTTGAGGCAGCTCTTTTCCATATGATAGAAATGTGTTGTGATCACATCTGTAACTCAAAAAAAGGACCACAAATCAAAAGACATACAATTTTTACATTATATCCGAAATATTCTCAAGTCATAACGTCGTTCCGCATAATGAACAGTTATGATAACAATTTGATCACTATAAACTGTTATTGTTGAGAAGGGGTGAATGAAGATTCTTTAAAAATATATCTTTTTGTTGGTTGGGATGACGGAATACTGTGAGGTTAAATAATAACATGTATATTTTTGGGTGAACGATTCCTTTAAGACATCGTGTACTAATGGAGTAGTAACGTTTTCCTCAATACAGGAATAGATTGAAATGACAATAATGTAATCATACACTTGATATGTATTTTTAATTTGTAAAATGTCAATGGGTCATCATTATTTACAATTATGTTTACCCTACAACAAGGAATAATATTTAACAACTGACATAGTAACTTTTAATGTTTGCATCTAATTGAACACAAGTATGAAAATACAAAAGTATTTTTTGGAAGAAAACATTCCAACAAAAGAGGCTCAGATAATGAGATACTGCCTGTGTTGTTTACTGATTATTTAATATGGAAAAGAATTGAATGATGACGAATACACCTTGTGTAAATAATGTTAGACCGTGTACAGATTGTACTAATTTATCGTTTAACTCTTAAATGTAGTTTTGTACGTGTACTGTGTACTATTGTAATCACCTGGCAATGATACCAGTGAGTTATTTTCTGATGCACTTTTATTTTCCAATAAAGAAATTATATTTTTATATATACTCTGTGGAATATTGAAATCACCTAATCATATCCCGACAAAAGGCAACTGCACATTTAATGTGGTTAATACATAGGTTAATACAGTTATAGAGGTCTAAAGAGGTAAAAGTGGTGCTCTGTCACCCAAGCTCACAATACCATCACTTTGGCCATACTTACGAAAAAGTTAAGAAAACGGTAATGTAAAAAATGGAGGTTACGTTGTAAGTAAATGGGGCCAGTTTGGCCAAAACATAAAATAACAGTTAGGCTTCTACAGTTAGTTGTGCTCCAAATGATTTTTGTTTTTAATTTTTAGTGTGATCACATCTTTACAAAATGTCTATATAGTGCATCAATGGTAAACATTCTTTTAAAATATTGTTTTGAACTTTTGAAACTTGACAATTTTGGTTGTGCAGATTTTCAGTGGATGGACAAAATGACGAGAATATATATATATATATATATATATATATATATAAAATATAGCATTTTCATTTGTGGGCAGAAGTGTTTGGTAGCTAGCCTCAATGACGGTGAATAAATTTGGAAAGAATTGTATACCACATCCCTTTAATGGTAGATATCATACCATTAAAGGATACTGTCCAAATTTTAAATTCTGTCCAAATTTATTCACAGTGCAAAAATTAATTAATGCTGAATGAATGAATGAATGAATGAATGAATGAAGGCTTCAATTTCATTATACTTTTATTCTTTCTTTTGATATTGTTGGAAATTGCACACAGGCATAGGCTACTATAGGCTCTGTAGTATCCAACGGTTAAATGTTTTTATGAAGGGCTCAGTTCGTATTAAGGATTTTAATCTACAACCATTTTCCCAGTCAGATATTTAATCACTACAACCCACACCGCAGAAAAGGAATCGTGATTTGAACATTAAGGGGGCATCATCACCAGAGAAGAGCTGTGACGCTGGCCTACGAAAGAGCACAGCGTCGTCGACAGAAATATTATACTGGAAAACCACCGCACAGGGAGAAAGGACAGCGCCTTTTCTCTGCCGCAGGTAAACACTTGTTCTGGGTTATACATTTAAGCCAACTGGTCAGAATCATGAAGATGAATATCACCGACTAGTATCGCTATTTCGAGGACAGCAGGTGCGACTGGCCATTTCTGAGGGGAAAAGTCAGTGTGTGAGGCTGATTGACAGATAATGTTGCTATAGTTACAGTGCTGACCGTTAGAGCGGTTCGCGCTGTCAGCTGGATCAGCGCGTGCATTGAACGGATATAAATAAAACTCTTTCAGCTGGATTTATTACGGAAACAGAGAGAAATTATCATTTTGGTCCTTGTTAGCACGTTTACTTTTGCTGCATTAAGCTGTCGTGAGATCTCCCATTTCGAAGTCGTGCTAAATTGCTGTGGTCATTTTGTTTTATTTCGTATATAGGCTAATATCCGACCATGTACGTTCGGTTAGTTTTAGTCGTAAAAAAACATTTCCCAGGGATGTGGCTCAATTTCTATTTGTGTCAGTTTTTTTAAGTTAAGTAATATGCATTATTGTGGTGTTATTTATTCACACTGCAGAGAAATTAGCAATATCACGGCCCTCCCGCCAAAATGTCGTGTAGATTTAACGTTAAACGTGCTGAAAGGGCAGAGGATATTATTACATGATATTAAATGTATTAAATTAATTTGTGATATGTTTTAGCTTACCTCAATGGCATCCAAGATGTAGGTGTCTTTGTTTCCACATTATTTTCAATTTTGATGTTTTTAGGTCAAACCGTTCTTGTCTGTCAGTCATATAATGGAGGTCTATGGTCACCACCTCAAAAAGCATGCACAGAGAACTCCAAATTACACATGATTTAATGACTCGTAAATGTAAGTACACATTGATGGCCTAAGACACGAAACGAGCGGTTTGTGTGAGAAAACCAACAGTATTTATATCGTTTTTAGCTCACAGTGTGAATGCTGATTGTCAAACCATATCTGATATTATGCAGTCTTTCATTTTTAGCAGTGGCGGCTGGTGCTAAAAAAGTTTTTTTGGGGGGGAGGTGAGAGTCGGACTAAATTTAAATATTTAATATTTGTTTAATAACCATTTAACGTGATGTAATAATATATCACTAGGCCTACTCCTTTGCTAAAAATGGTCGTTGAAAATTCAACTGTTAAATCATGAAATAAGGTACCACGAATCAGTGAATTTGAGTTTAATGTGGGTATATTTCAGTAATAAATGAATCATAAACCAATCTGAAACGTTTTTTTTTTGTTGTTGTTGTAGAAAATCAAAGATGAAGGCCATAATACTAATGTTTTCCACAAGAGGGAGCCACAGGATAACAAATAATTTTTTTAAATCTGTTCTGGAAATTGATCAATAAATTGCTAAAAAAAGGATTTTGAAATTGCAAATAGGGAAATCGCATCAAGGTCAGTCTAAGCTCCACAATCCTTATAGTTTTTTATTCATTTGAATGCCTTGTAAAAGGATTTTTTGTAAAAAAAATTAAACCGGATTTACAATAATCTCGGAAGAAATATCGCACCTACTTGAAAGTTGAGAATGGTCCTATCACAATCAACAATATTGATTTGCTAAAATCAAATGAGGGAGGGACAATCTGAAACAAGCCAATTAGAGCTCAGCCTCGACTCGAGTCACATGTTTCGCAACGTTTACTGACCTACATACAGTAGACATGATGTCGCGGGTCGTGTCGACCTGTGGGTCGGGTTGAAAGGGAAAGAAATTTTTAATTTATTTAAGGGGTGGGTTATTAAAAAGTAATTAAAAATAATAATAATAATAAAAATAAATAATTTCCAGCCTATATAAAATATTTGGGAATATCTATTTTCATATTTTATTAGGTTTTTTGATGAGGTTAAGTTATGACATCACTTTGTGGGCCAAAACGCGGAAGTGAGTTACTTATAAATTCAAAGTTCAATATTAAAAAAATAACATGCTTGGTTTTTCCAAATGTCTTTTGAATTTCAATAGTTGCATGTAGTTTCAAGTATAACAAAAATGTTATACTACTCTTTGTCATGTTTTCTGTCATTTTGTTCATGGTTCTTTAGTTTTTTTAATGAAGGCATGTCAATTTCTACTAAGTGGCATTTGATTGAAACAAAAGTTTACTAAATAATACACTTTTATATCTTGTTGTATATGTATTGATACGTTTTCTCTGCCTCTCTTTTTCATCTTTCGCATCCTGGATTGGATTATCCTTCATTGGCTGATGATTTTGCTGAAAATGACTCGATGCGATTTGTGGTGAGTTTGTCATTCACTTCCTTTATTTATATTGAGATTTGCAAAGCTCAGCTGAACAAAGACTGGTGATTCATTGTTTCGCGTCACATCATGTAAAGAAAAGTAATGAAATTGCTTTTAAAGCAAGGATTCAGAAAGGACCAATATCAATCTTTCATCTGAGATGGACAGATGACACTGTCTGAGAATTAGATCAGTCTTATCTGTGCTGTCAGTGATGAGAACTGAAACACAAAACCTCAGGCTGAAAGGGTTATCACATCTCAATAAAAGCTTTTTACACTCTTCAGACACTGACAGATGATGGTGACCGGGAACAACCGATAGATAAAAAGAGTGCAATGCAATATTTTACATGACACTGCTCAAGAAAAAGGGTTTGTACTTTAAGAAATTCTTATTAAATTCATCATCATTATTTTTTTTTTTATTTTCTTCAGAGCATTGGTGATATGATAAAGCAGTATATCAAGTACACACTAAGCTTTATTTTGAATGTGAATGTATCCTGCTGGTCATATGAATGTTTGGGTCAATGCCAGTCATTTTGTTTTATACGGTCATTTTATTTTGACAGTGTATAATATATGCAGAATTTCTGACTTTGAAAAACTGGAAATATTGCATATATATAGGTGAAAATAGTTTGAATCCATAGCAACGATAAAATTTGTTTCATTTATTTATTATTTGTTTAATTTATTCCTTTTTTCTACATTTTCTAAGGAATGTAATTTTATTGTGAAGGATAAAGTTATATTTTTTTTATTTAAAAAAAGACATTATTAAAGTATTAGCTCCCATGTAGTTTAACATAATGTCAGCAGATGGCAGCAGAGAGTCTGGTGGGGAAATGGAGGAACAGGTGGTCACTGGCTTGAGCTCTGGATTAACGACATGCAAACAGAAAGAAAAAAACATCGGTGTAACTCAAAAACACCCAGAGGAAGAGAACATTTACTGTGGATGTTTTCATCACATGCACTTTTGAACAACATTTCCCCCAAAAAAACAACAACAAAAACTTGCTTTTATATTTATATAATTCATCAACAACATATGATGTGATCACATTTATTATACAGTTATTTGATAAATAAAATATATTTTTCCATTAAAACATATTTATATATTTAATATTTATTTTATTCCAGATTTGGAATTTTGTATGATGCCCAACTGTTTATTACTTTATATTTTGTTATTGTCTTACAACCATGACTTATTCTATCTTACCTCCGAGCAATGAAGTCCTGGAGTCTAGAACTCATGGAAAAGATATTAGCCTATTTAAAGGAGTAGTTCACTTTTCAAAAAAAAAAAATTTGCTGATAATTTACTCGCCACCATGTCACCCAAGATGTCCATGTCATTCTTTCTTCAGTCGAAAAGAAATTAAGGTTTTTGATGAAAACATTCCAGCATTTTTCTCCATATAATGGACTTCAATGGGAACCAAACGGTTCAAGGTTTAAAAGACAGTTTCAGTGCAAACTATAAACTGTTCAAAGGGCTTTAAACGATTCCAGGCGACAAATAAGGGTCTTATCAAGCGAAACAATCGCTCGTTTAATAAATAAATAGTTTTATAAGCTCAAATACTCGCCTTGCTCTGTTCTGTGATGCATGTTCGTGACTCTCCTGTTCGAGCTCATTCATCAAAATGAACTAATCTTTTTCTGAGTCAATTTGTTCGTTCGTTCGTTGTTCACTTATTATATGTCATTTTGGTGATCAAAGATGAGTTTTAAGGGATAAAACTATTGACTGCAGGGGGAATTTAAAGGGATACTCCACTTTTTTTTTTTTTTTTTTTTTTTTTTGCAAATAGGCTCATTTTACAACTCCCCCAAAGTTAAACATTTGAGTTTTACCGTTTTCGAATCCATTCAGCCGATTTTCTGATATTTAGAAAAATGTCCTATAACCAGAGAGTTTCTGGTCTCATTGACTTCCATAGTAGGAAAAAAATATACTATGGTAGTCAATGAGACCAGAAACTCTCTGAAATTTTTCTTAATATCAGAAAATTGGCTGAATGGATTCGAAAACGGTAAAACTCAAATGACGGAGTTGTAAAATGAGCCTATTTACAAAAAAAAGTGGAGTGTCCCTTTAAGAAAATAATGCTTATAATATTATTCATAAATATACATCCACATTTATTATTGTTAGGGTTTTTTTTATATGAACACTTATGATGCACAATATACAATGCAAATAGGTCCAATCTTTGACATGAAAACCATCAATGCTTTTGTTTTGTTGTATAATATTTTATTTTATTTCTGTATTTTCATTTTATTGATGATAGTTGTTATCTTCATTACTATGTGTATGCAATGACTAAAGACCCTCTCCCTGTAATGGATTATGGGTGTAATGGGTTGTTTGTTGACAATTTTTGGCTGCACTAATTATCCCCTGAATCTCTTGGCCATATTGGTGTGAGCATGTCTGACATGACATCATTCATTCAGTTGGAGGTCAGGTTCGAGATATTGGACTAATGCTGTGGTGGTTGACAGAGCAGTAATTAGGGGTTTGGTGCCCAGCTGGTGCCCACTATCACAGCTGTTAATGGAGAAGATCTGGGGGTGGGGAGGAGATGCAGAAGGTTCTAGAGGGACAGGGTGGTGTGTGTGTGTGTGTGTCTCCTCTCTGTCGCGACCATCTCTGGGGACTTTGACTGTCTGGTTGGTGATGTCACTTTGTTTTAGCAGATGTATTGCAAAGCACCTGCCCATGGGAACTTAAAGGGCCAACGCTCCTGATGTAGGAATCCACATTGGACAGTGACAGACAGAGATGCATATACTATTAATTATACATGAAACCAGCCACTGATAAAAGATCAAGTTTTGTTTTAAGAGCCAAAAAAGGTTCAGTGATATCCTGCTACTGATTAGGTCCCTAAAACAAAAACAAAAATACATATTGTAACGTTTTTCAAATGTATATTTTATTTTATTATTATTCTTGAATAAACAAAAGTGCACATGCACTTTTTGTTTGTGCAGTTACGAGGGCGGCACTACTATCATGCATTATTTACTAGTAGTGATGGATGATGGCTTGTTTCGAGGGCATAGGGAACACACCCAACCCTCCAGACATGATTATTGTGTGGTTAGACAAAATGCTGAGATTTACAATCCTATGAAGTCATTATGTGTCCATTAATAGCAGGACAAACCTCATATATCTGATTTATCTGAACCCGAACTACACTATATAGGCTAGTTTTTAGCTGTGATTTGTGGTACCAATACATTGTATTATTTTGGTTAAAAAAATAAAATATTATACACTCACACACACTCAAAATTACTAGGATGTGCATGGGAACACTTTATTACAGTGTCCTTGTTACGTTATTTATACAGTAGTTGACATCTGAAGTGGATCAAAAGCTTTCATCAAAGTTATACATGCATTTTGAACAAACCCGTTAGATACAAGATACAATACTTCAGACTTTGAACTGAAAGTGTCTTGTTATTGTAATAAGTAGTTAAAAGTATAAATAAAATAAGTACAATGTAAAAACACGTAGCCTATGTAGGCCTACACAAAATCTGCATTGTATCGAATTATCAAATTATCAAAATTTAACTGAAATGTTAACTTAGGAGGCTACATGGAAGTTAACGACACATATAAAGAGAGACCAAATATTTACATTTTCAGTGGAAGAACAAATTGCGGTCACTATCACAAAACAACAGAACCTATTAGGCTATGTCATAGTCTGTGTGTCTGAGATTAAAATCATCCAGTTGAGTCCGTTTTTTTTCACCTGAAATTTCCAACGCATTTGATGGGAGATTAGCTAAAAGCTGATCAAATATTGTTCATTTTTTATTAAGTCATGACTAATTTGGAAATAAAGTAGCTAGCAGCTAAAATTAAACCGTTAGCCTTTAAAACGAATTTCTAAGTCTCCTTGGTTACGATGCTGCTGCAGCCTTAGCGCCAGGGACCGAAGCTCAGTTATCTCACATCTGATTGGCTCTTGTCCACCTCTGCTCGTCTCCCATTTGTCACTTTTACAAATACGCTCGGCTCATTGCATAGATAGCACCTCCCCCCTTTTACTAGAACCTAAACAGCTTTTTTAAAAAAAGGTTGGATAATTTTGTACATGGTTTTGTTAGTGTGATATCTGTGGAAAAGCGGTTTCATTTTGTAGTGGATTATTTCTACCCGTTGATGAATTAAGAGGAAGGTAAGAGGGGAATCTTGCTGCTGCTGGATTATGTATTGTGTGTGATGCTCGCGAGGACGGGAATATGTTGACATTTTTTTTTTTTCACATTCGGCGCCATTTTCAGACATTCCATTCACGCGCACCTGCTCGCGCACTATGATTATCAATAACAAAGCATTTTGATCGACAGCTGTCAAAAAACTACAGACGTTTTAAAGTTATTGTCGATTGATGAGCGCTCTGATTTATTGTATTGTTTCGGTTCACTGTTGGCGGGCTGTGCGTATCTCACATATGTTGGATAGTTTAAGACACTAATGGCAAATGTTTTCATTTTTATGCTCGTCGTTGTGATTTAGTGTACAACAATGAACGTCACGAAAAGGGTTCATTTCTGTGTAGTTTATGTCCGTCCGTTCGGTCGTGTCGTGTCGTGTCGTGGGAAATTGTCCCGTGAGCCTGTCTCAGAATAAAGCGCAGTGTAATGTACTGTAAACAATACTAGATTACTATGCCAGTGTCTATTACTAAAGATGGGTGTGCATAGCGCGGTTAAGTTAGATAATTAGATAATCTACCCTCAAATTAAAAGGCCCTCAAGTTACCTTTCTTTCTTTCTTTCTTTCTTTCTTTCTTTCTTTCTTTCTTTCTTTCTTTCTTTCTTTCTTTCTTTCTTTCTTTCTTTCTCGAGTTAATATTGTTTAATATGACAGAATAAACCTTGCTTACATCAACAAAATGTAGAGATTTTGCAGTTTCACTTTACAGTTTATCATCAGTCTGTGTGAGAACTGCTGATATTGTGATATTTATACACTGGAACCTCATAAAGACTAACACAGTCTTGAAGTCAACAAATTATAATATGCTGTGACTTCTGGAGACTTTGCAGTGCATTTCATTCAAACCCAGAGGGCTTGCTATTTTAATACATTCACGTTATTGTTTCTGAGGCTTTAGCCTCAGCTTGGGTCTATTCAGAAAGGTTATGTAATCAAACCCCATTTATAAATTGGATGTGCTTGTAAGCCTTCCCATGTATGAAGAAGAAAAAAAAATGACAGAGATGTGTAATAAAAGTACCTTTTCCTTTTGATTGAACAATGTTCTCTCTGATGTGATTTTCTGCGCATGGTCTTTGTTATTGTTCTGCCATGCAGCAAAGGCACTCAGGAACATCTGTTTATATATCTGTTAAGCTTTCTTTTAAGGTCTTTCCTGACGTGTGTTCTTGATTCAGTCTAGATGGTAGTTTAACACACCACCAGGGTTCATGTGTGTGTGTTGCGCTGTTGGTTATGCTGAATTAGACATTCTTAGCAGAATTACATTGTGTGTTCATTGGCCCATGCACACCTGTTGTGTTAGCTAATAGTTGAAGTGTTATTGTTCAGGGCCCTTGGTGTTATGCTTAATAAATGTAGCCGATGGTTCTGTTTTGCTGCGTTTCTCAAAATTCGAAGTACATATGACCAATGGTCTACGGTCGAAAGCTCACAATGCTTTTGTGAAACGCAGCCCTATAAGTTGCAGGTTCTTCTTTTTCTTTCTGCTTCTCGCTGCCTTGAGCGACCGGACCGCCCCCATCCGTTTTGTGTCCATGGAGATCAGGTGCTCTGTGGCGGCCTGTGTGACCATGTGGTCATTGATTGGTTTGATTAGTACATCCTCCTGAGCCCCAGTGTGTGTGTGTGTGTGTGTGTGTGCAAGTTTACGCCTCCTGTAAAGCCACTTACCCTTCGGTGGTCCCAAGAGGAACCTCTCAATCTTGTTAGTTTGGTCACATTTGGTCTCTGTCTATAAGCAGTTTGCTGAAAATTGGCTTCTTAATTTGGTTTTATCAAATCTTTGTCTTACTGGAAGCTTGTGTGTATTGAATTTTGGGTCTTTGAAGGTAAATTGTGTAATTTTGGCACCATTAATGGGACCAAATGGAATTACGAGTTTTTGGAGGACATATTATGCCCCTTTTTTACAAGATGCAACATAAATCTCAGTTTATGTGCCTGTGAAGTTTCAGCTAAAAAAACAGAGTTTTAAACTGAATTCTCGTCGGTGCCGAATTTTATCTTATCGCACTTAAACTGTCAAATACACACGGGGTTATGTGAAAAACACGCAAAGTTCACAAACACATGTTCTGTCTGAACGTAAACAGCAGGGACATAAATCTCATGTGTATATTAGATCTTTGTATTAAAGTGAAAGCGGCGTAATATACTGCTGTTAATTTGACCCAAACAACAAAAGAAATGTAATCCCGGATTAAAGAACTAATAGCTTTAATAAGAATACATTCTTGAATGCTTCTGAATTATGGGGATTATAAGGCTGGTTGTATACACACTGTGGGCACTATATGTGTTCACACACCTTATAAAAGTGAATTTTGCATAATAGGTCCCCTATAAGAAAATGTGAGTGGTGCTTATTGCTTAGCCTATACAAAACTCAAATTGCTACTCAAAGTATTAGTAGTAAAAAATCTTTATTTGTCCCTTTACAGGGCAATTTAAGTAGCTTCAACCTCACAAAAACATACACATTTATAAAAGACAACAAAACATCACAAAAAAAAAAATATATATATTTATTTACGCTAGGAATATTTACCTTATTCCTAGCGTAAGAGAACAGGCCATTGCAACTTGATTGTATCAAGGCTTTCGGTGTTACCCGTCTGTTATGCTGCTGTGCTTAATATTGCAGACTTTTAGTTGTTATTATTATATTATTTTAATTTATTAACGTAATCATAAACAAACTGGTTTGTAGTACAAATTATTTAATAATTTACAGCATTTAATTATAATTCCTATTATCTTCCTATGGCGGCAAATGAATCGGAAGTGTCCACACAATAGCTTAATTCCACATTGGTTCATACTGGGAATAGATAACATGCGTACTTAAACATTTTAAGGATCCCACATGGCAAAAAAAAATATTTTAAAACATTTTCACATATGTTTTAAAATGTATACAAATGGGCAAAAATAGACTACTATTTTCTATTTCCTTTTTTTATTCAACATATTCAAATATTTATAAAATATTAAATATATTTTTATTATCCAAAATTTATTAAAATACATTTTGCATTGACTTAAAATGTTCTTTAAGGTTGGAAATGCAGCACTGTTTACAACATATATTATTATCATAGCCTATTTTAAATGTATTTTGGCCTGAAAAAAGTTACTGTAAGTGAATAAATACAGGCATGTAGCCCTCAATCGGGTCAATCGTCTTTTACTTAACAAAAAAAGGTTCCCTTCATCATCTCAGTGGAATAAGATTTTGTGACTTTTCATACATTATCTATACACACAAAAAAAAATGGGCTTGATTCGGTTGTTCAGAAGGTATGTAAAATAAAATGTTTACACTTCTGGTCTTCGGGGTCAATATGACCCCACATTGAAATGAATGGGAAATGTGAAAAAAAACTAAATATATTTTCTTCAAAAAAAAATCCAGGATAAATCTGAAAATTTTTACACAGAAATGAAGGCCTTGTACTAGAGCACAAATGCATTGTATCATAAAAAATAATATTTCATATGCTAATGCTAAAGCTAATGGTGTAGTTGAGGAATTGTGTGGTATATTGATACAAAAGTACTTTATATCTCCAAAAACACAGCATTAATGAATAGATGAGAATTAAAAAATAATAATATTTGTTTGATTAAAAATGTATATTTTTTGTACAATTACTCAATCAATTGTTAGGGTTGTATAGACCCAGAAGTGTAAACAGGAAACGAAGACCATTTGAAGGGTAAAGTATTTAAAGCTCTTTCTTTCAGATCAATCACAATCAAAGTTCAATTAATGGCAAACTACGGTCACATTATCTAGGTTTGTAAGTTTGACTTTATTTTATTCGTACCAAAGCATTTATATGACAAAAGACAATTATATTATTATTATTATTATATAATTAAATTATTCAGACAAGTTTGTTCGACTGAAACTTAAACTGTATGTAAAGGTATTCAGGAAGTCTTACAGTCTCAGCATATTTAAACTAAACTAAAAAAAAAACACCTTTAAGCTTTAATTGGGCAAAAGCTGATATACTGTCTCCATTCTATAGCAATGTAAATCAGGTTTGCTCAGGCTAGAGTTTTTTTTCTGGGTCATTCACTGCTGGCTTCTGTCCTTGAGCCCAGGGTGAGCAAAAACCGAGTAAAGATCAGGGTTGGGTATCGAGTATCGATTGGAACCGAGACTAACTTTTAGTTTTTCCCGGAATCGTTCAAAAGTTAAAATTTCGATTCCTAGTTTCGATATTCACAGTCCGCCGAGCGGAAGAAGAAACCGCTGAACAACACCAACGAAGAAGCGTCTACCGGAAGTGTTGGCATAACCACGCGAACATGAGTAGCTTACGTCCGTGATCCAAAGTGTAGCTTCACTTTTCTAAAAATAACGAAATCTCGGCAAAATGCAAAATTTGTGACAAAAGGAGTATTTTTACAGAAGGAGTATTTCCTTCAGAAAGGATTATTTCCTTCATAAAGGCCGTTGGTTAGCAAGGTTAGCTAAACTTTTTTGACCCTGCCTCTTAAAAGAATCAGAATCGAGAATCGTTAGAAACCGGAATCGAAACAAGGAATCGGAATCAGAATCGTTCAAATTCAAACGATACCCAACCCTAGTAAAGATGGAGATCAACATGGCAGTGAGAGCAAGAACAACTGACAGTGAGATCCAGCTGCGTGCTCCATTAGTACATCGAGAGAGAGAGAGAGAGAGAGCTTCTCTATAATCCCGCGCAGGACCCGATTAATTTTAAAGCTGCTTTCCAGTCTTAAGCTCACTTTCTGCATCCAGTTACAAAAGCGAACAGCACTTAGGCTTTCTACTACACTGTTTACTCTGTCTTTCAATTGTTTACTGTCACCGTAGCCCTAAGTGCCTCTGTTAGTGTGGCTTCAGACGACGCAATGATGAGACGATTCCTCCAGAAAAAATGCATGTGCATTTTAAAAGAATAGTTCCTCTAAAAATTATATGCTCAGTTTACCCTCATCTCAACCTCAAAAGAAATTTCTAAACTTCTAAAATCAGATGTTTTGGAGAATGTTCACATTGCTTTTTTCCAAATAATGAAAGTAGATGGGGGCTGTTTCCAAAAAAAGCTAAACTTTTTTACCATAGTCCAAATAATCTGAAGTCATACAATAGCTTTTTATGCATCATCATACTGTATATACCGTGATATAAAACTACTCATGTTTGTATTTTTGATTTCGATCTTAAAACTCACTTCTGAATCTGAACTGAAAGCGTCAGTTTTGTGCCACTGCATGTGTGAATATATTTGTGTGTGTGACACTGTGTGTATAAATGTAATGTCACACAGAGCTGTGTACTGTACATCTGCCTCTTGTGAGGTTCGCAGTCGCACTTCCCATTTTTATGCCCACTCAGCAGCTCCTGACCCCTGCCAGCCAATCAAAAAGCAGGATTCCAGTCCTGACGCTCTTATTGCTGGGGATTTAACCTGAGATTTCCAGCACTCATCATATTCTCTCTGTGTTAAGGCACATTCACACCAAGGATGAAAATTATGATGAGCGTCAAAAATGTATTAAATTTTTTTGTTGTCAATGACATTACTATATTTTAGTTTGATAATGTTTTTCATTTAATATTTTGTATTTTTAAAGGATTTTATGGTTCTAAATTATATTTATGCGGTATAAATATAAAATAAAATTGAAAATAATTTTCCTACTTGAATCTTGAATGATTTAGAGCACAGACTTGAGTTTGGTTTATTAAAAAAAATTAAAAAAATAAATAAAATGACACTCAGTTTATGAAATAATTAAGTGAAATAATTTTTAAAACGTTACAGAATTTGACAATTTATTGTTATGAAAAATACACAAAAATAGCTACTATTTAAAATTTTTATATGAAATGTATATTTTCAAAAACACATTTTACTATAAAACTACAAGAAAAAAACAAGCTGTGTATTTGAGCTTGATAGTTATCTCCAATAAAAAATAACTTAAGAAAGATTTAGTTTGGCCACAGTACCAAAAGATTTCACTAGATGAAAAACTAAAAAATAAATAAAATAAAAACACATAAAATTGACCAAAGAGTACTAGAGAGTTACTCTAGTAACATGGAGATTTTTGATATTGATAATACTGAATATATATAAAACCTGTCTCTTAAAAGCTGTGGCATAGCATACATTTAGGAACACACACGGTTATCTAATGAGAGTTAATGGTTTTATTAGACAGTCCCCTGATTGCATTCAACAGAGTGTTAAATTATCCATGAAGGACCATCACTAATACTCGCAGCCTCTTCATGTGATTTTGCTTTTCTGCATTGGTCGTCGAGCAATTTCTTCTTCGCAGAGATTAAAAGGTTATGGCACAATAAATTACTCTCTTTATCAGGAAAAACTGCACATTGCACCCAGTTTTTTGGTGCGATACGATTCCAAACTTATGGGGGGCCAAACTTGTTGACACAAATATACTTATTATTGACTCAGTCAGCTGCTTGAGTCGGCGTTATTCTCTAACTGTAATACATTTCTAGACTATGAAACTGTTCAAATGTGTGTTTTTGAAAGACAGATCTGTGTTTACTGGAATGGTAAATGTCCAAATTAGCTTGATGTTTGCAAATAAAAGTGAGTATAGTCTAGAAGTTTAATGTTGTTCTGCTTTAATGAATTACAGTGATGCTACACTATAAATATTAGAGCCCGACCGATAAAGGGTTTTGAAGGCCGATACCGATACAAATATTTTTGGGTTTTAAAATCCGATATATCGGCCGATATTTTTTTTTATTATTAAATATTGTTGGATTTCACACACGTGTAAAAGAAAAGCTAACTTTTCTGCACAAGATACGTTTGATACTTTTTCTCTCCTCGCAAGTATAACTAGAGATATGCGTAGATATACCTAACCTACATCTTGGATGCCCTTGAGGTAAGATAAAACATATCAAAAATTAATTTCAAAGTGAACTATCCCTTTAATTCTTGCATTTGTGCAGCTGGATGGTTCAGTCCTAGTTGAGCAGGTGGTGGGTGTCTGTAGATAATTTGTTGATGGCTTTAAGTAGATAAAACGAGAAGTTCAGAAGTTCACTTCCTGTATGGGTTTATTTCAGGATGGGAGGTGCAACAATTTGCATTTGGGAATCACAGACACCTGCACTCTCTTAATAAGGAGTATTTAGTCAGTATTTCTCTATTAATGAGACTGAGGGAACACACAAACACAAACCTCACAAACCTCAACACATTTAGTAAAAGTTCCTTGACCTTATTTTTATGTTGATTTCTTGAGAATAAAGTAAATGAAAGATATCTGCTGTAAAAGGGAGGTTAAATGCATCTTAGTTTACACATACAGCCATTCTGCATGAATGGGACTGTCTTCTTTAGTCCACTGTGTTTGCTGTCTGTCCTCAAGAGACAGCTTGTGCTTAAACTTGAACCCTCATAATGAGGCTTTGCAATTATTTTGCTAATGAATGGGAAAGAATGACTGAACGGCAGACCTGTTTTGTGTAAATGCGTGTGGACAAAATGACTCAATAGGAAGCAATTTGAGTCTGTGTTTATTTACTTGTCTGTGTGCTGTGCTCTATTCATTGTTATCACTATTAATGTCAGCAAAACTGCCTTTTTTGTAATGTGGTGAAACCCAAATTTCAAATTCAGACCCAAAAAAGATCCAAACTTCAATGCAATACTACAGCAGAGAGGGATTTTTCTTTTACTGGAGGGGGATAGTGAACAAAGGAGCAGAGGATGGAAATGAATGTTGTTGAGTTGGGAATTGGTGAGAGGAATTTCCTTGAATGGGGTTCCTTGAATTCCTGAATGGGGTTATTTTTTGGGAACCAAACAAGAACGTTATAAAATATCGGCTGATATATCGGATTTTAAAACCCAAAAATATTTGTATCGGTATCGGCCTTCAAAATCCTTTATCGGTCGGGCTCTTAAAGTACGGACATTAAAGTATAGAGTGCACCTGGCTTGATGTAAATGCTTAAAATGTGTTGAACAATGATTTTTTTATAGTATTGTGTTTGCACATTCCTCATCATTAAAAATCTCCTCCCTTTCCACAATTGGAGATTGTGTGGATTTAGTGCACATTCACTTTCACTTTCTTTCACGTACAAGAAGGTATTGAGACTGTGGAAATCAACAAAAAATACTATTTTTATTTACTTTTAAAATACTATTTTCACTAGGGCTGGGTATTGACACAAATTTCACAATTCGATTTCGATTCGATTCAATATAGTTTATTTTGGATATCAGTTACAATAAATGGCAAATTTTCTCAAGGAAATCAAATCTCTTAACTAACGCTGTAAACTATGGGAGTCTAGTTGTAGCCTATAGGATTCATTAGCCTAATATGAAGGTGTTTTGTAGCTATACAAACACTTAAATTACACTTTTATTTATTTTTATAATAAGAAGATTATATGAAATATAAACATTTAAATGGTGACTGTCATAAAAACTTGCCATTTATTAAAATATGCATTAAATATTGAAGAACATTAAGATTATAATGCATATGTAAAATGGTGTATATATTTAGGGAAATGCTCCTCTCTAGAATTATTTTTTCTAGCTGACTAACGAGTTTATGTGGGTTTTCTGAGGTAAATATGACGATGACATTGATTACAAGCTGACGTCTTTCCACGGTTAAAACGCTGATTGAGCGAATCAATGTGACATGATCCGGATTTGGATAAGTTGTACTCTATCTTTAACACACTTTCAGATGCTCATTCATGTTTATTTGGCGCTGTGACTGGTATTATTAAGCCGGAAGAGAGATCAGCGCTGCTGCTTCTCCAGAGCGATCTCACACCACAGCGACAAAACGCTATTTATGTTTTTGAATTTCTAAAGAAAATGGACGTAGTTTGAAAATTGAGACTTTGTTTCATCTCAATAGTAACAAAGGACAAAGATTATTGCGATACAATGTCCCATTCATTCAAATGAAACAGGATGACTAATCGATTCTTGAGATTTAAGAATCGATATCGGTTCGTAAAAATGAGAATCGATTAATATCGAGAAATCGATATTTATTACCCAGCCCTAATTTTCACTCTCCAATCTTAATCTCATTATATTTAAGATGAATATTAGTTGAATTTGCATGCAGTCAGCAATTAGAAAATGTTATAAATTCGACACGTAACTTAAAGTGAACGTTTTCTTCCTCCAGTGACTGCCATGACGACAGACGAGGCGGAGAGCGTTCAGAAGAAACAGGTGGTTGAGCAGCAGCAGGAAGAAGAGGACCCCACCGCACAGGAGCCAGGCCCCACTGATACAGCTCAGGAGAGTCCCTCCGGCACCTCGGCGCCCCCCGGGGGCTCGGAGGAGGAACAGCAGCTAAAGCCGCGACAGCGCACCTCCGCTGGCCGCGGCCTCTCCCGCCTCTTCTCCTCCTTCCTGAAGCGCCGCTCGCAGTGCTCCGAGGGCGAGGGGGTTGAGACGGAGAGGGCCAGAGAGAAGGATAGCCAGGAGGAACCCAAAGCCCCCATAGCGGACCCTGAGCCAGAACTGCGTATAGAGGGCGATGTTGCTCTAGACCAGCACTCGGTCAGCAGTGCTGAAAACCAGGTGAGAGAAAGAAATATACAGTATATATTAGAGCCAGACCGATATATCGGCCGATGTTAGGCATTTTCCATAATATCGGTATCGGCAGTTATAATGGCCGATAAATGAATATTTAAAAAATAAAATAAAAATGGACGAAACACGCTTTAATCCTCTCTCCTTGGCCTGTTATACGATGCTTTCGGGAAATGCACCCCTGTCTGTGAAACCAGATTTTTTTAGCAAAAAGTACAAGTAACACTTATCCTACTGGTGTGTGTGTGTTTAACAACATGTCAGATATGACCTCAGGGTGATAACCGGATGTTCAAACTGTTCACGTGTAGAAAGCGATGTCTGTCCAAAGGCTAACTGGACTGTGGAGCTTCACACATCTGACATTCACACGTTTAGGGTCAAAGGTTGCATGTTAAAACCTTCTGTGTGCAGCTCTCATCTGTTCCAGCGGCACTAAAAGCTTTCTGAGAGGCCTGCTGTCAACATGTCTCGCTAGCTTTTTATTATTTATTCTGCTCTCTTTTCGCTTGCATAGAGACATTAAACCACGTGTGGTGATGTTACGAAGATTTTACTGATTAACCCTCTGATGGTCTTCATTTATGAGTCACGTCCTAAAAATGAAACTTCCTCCATCCCAGTAAAACCAATGCAATTTATTTTTGTTCTATAATATTTATTCTTTTCAATTTAGTATTTTGAGACAATTTGATTGAATTTATTAATATTTATGCAATATTTATGGTCTATTTTTTCAATGGAAATATATATATTTTTCTATATATATATATATATATTATTTCAAAAAAATTATTAATGCAGTATTTTTGTTTAATATAGAGTCTAGGCTGTCAGAAAAAATTTTCTTTTGAAGAAAATTAGCACCATCTGGTTACAGTATAGAGAAAAAGCGTAGAATCATGGTGTAACCACTAGATGGCATGTACAGCTCTCTATGGAGAGGCATGTGAATTCCCCAGCTGTTTATGAACACATTTTTTTTTTTTTGGTGGATTTGAATATATAATTGAAACAATCTCAAAAACTATTTCTTATTAAAAAAGTGTTAAAAAAAAAAAAAAATTTCCCATTCATTGACAGTTTTTGTCAATTTCCCATTCATTTCCTATGGGGGTCATTTTTGATCAAAGACCAAAATCGTGACTAATTTTTTTACAACCACTTAGCATGCTCGGATCATGACCTCAATTTTTTTGTGTGTTCGCATCCCTAATACCAGAAATGTCACCAAGTTTCGTAACATTCAGATGAAGCTGTGATTTGTAAAAATTCAAAACAGATTTTTTGTAGTCTGAATTTATTGGTGTGTATGTGTATAAAAGTGTGTTTGTATGTGAGCGTGTACATTTTTTTGCACTCTTGATGTTGTAGAGTGTCACCCCTTTACTGCGGTATACTTATTTTAAGAATCGTGGCCGATTTGTAGATTGTACAAATTGTGTTTTTTTGTAAATTTCCCATTCATTTCCTATGGGTCGGTCATTTTAGACCGAAGACCAAAATCGTTACTAATTTTTTTATGACCACTTAGCATGCTCGGATCATGACCTCAATTTTTTTTTGTATTCACATACCAAATGTCAAAAAAGTCACCAAGTATCATAACCTTCCGACGAAGCTGTGATTTTTAATAATTCAAAACAGAAAATTATTCGGTCAAAACAAGTGACCAAGGACCATCAGAGGGTTGCTTTAAGTAGCTTTTAAGCATCACTTGTTAATTGCATCATATTGAGATTTGGGGGGAAAAAAAAGGTTTAGTTTGTTTCCACAAAAAAAATCTTTCCTTGAAAACAAGTTTGTTTATTGTTTAAATGTTGGGCCATTTCTTAAATGGAGAGGGAGGTTAAATAATATCCTTGGAACAACTAAAAGAATCATTGTGTATGAAAGCTGACTCTAGACATTGTTGATTGTATTTTTTAACATGTTTAATTCTGTCTTCCTCAAGCAAATCGTAGCAGATCTGAAGGACAACGCCGAGCTGGAGTCAGGCAAAGGAGAAAAGGGGGAGAAGGGGGAGAAAAAGGAGAAGAAGGTCAAGAAGGAAAAGAAGGAGAAAGCAGACAAGGAGAAGCCAGAAAAGAAGGAGAAGAAGGAGAAAGAGAAGAAGGAGAAGCCAGAGAAGAAAGAGAAAGCAGAGAAGAAAGAGAAGGAGAAAAAAGAGAAGAAGGAGAAGAAAAATGAGGACAAGGCCAAAGGAGAGGAGGGAGAGAAAGACAAGGAGTGTGAGAAGGAAAAAGAGAAAGTGGAGGAAGAGCCAAGGCCGGAGGACGCAGGTGCGTCAGAAACTAAACTAAAGGAGGAACGAGAAAAAGAGGAAGAGAAAGAGGAGGAGGAAGAGGAGGAGGAGAACGCAGTGGAGGAGGAAGAGGAAGAGGGGGAGGAGGGGAAGAAGCAGAAAGCATCTCGCCGCCCCAGGATCATGCACTGCAAAGTCCAGTTGCTGGATGATACCCTCTTTGAGTGTGAACTGGAAGTAAGCGATACACACACAAAGCACACAACCACCGCTTCGTATCATTGTCTCGTCCCGGGAGAGAAACTCAAGCATTGCTCAAGGGCTTTTACTTCCTTTACTAATTGACTCTCAGACTACCAAGAGACTGTTTCTGCTGGTGTGACACTGCGTGGCTCTTAAAAACCGACTCGCGTTCATCCTTATTAGAACCTGAAAGTTTCACTTTACATTCACAGCTATTTCTGACGTTAGCATGTAGCGAGCTGAGCTAACAACAATTCGATTTCACGACCCACACAAGAGTCTATCAGAATCGAATTTACTTTGTTATTTTAATGATGTAACTTGAAGTGCTTCCAGTTATTTTAGCTGTAACAAAAATGTGTTATGCTGCTTGATAGGGGAGAGCGGGGCACAATTAACGTAACACTTTTTGACTTTGTTAATTTGTGTAAATCTACTTAGGGTTTAGAGTATTTTTTTTCCCCCCACATTAATTTCCCACATGTCTAGAACTATTATGTGGTTTTGTTTTATTAATACAGTGTATACTTTTTTCTTGATTTACCCTGAAAGAATGGAAGTGAAATGTGACAACATGCCCCATAGGTGGGGTACATTGTGACATCATCATATGACAGCTTAAAATGCTATCTGGTCTAATCAAAAAAATATACAAGTCAAACCAAAAGATTTTCTTAATAAAATACAATTATTAACTTTTTCATATAAAATAATGGCATTTTTTTAATAATTAAAAATAAACTAATTTTTGAGTTTGACAACACAAACACACCGGAAAACACAAAATTATTATTAATAATTTCTGAACATTGACTCTCACTCTTTATTTACATGTATTTCTCATGTTTTCTCAATAGAATCCATTAAAGTATAGAATATAATAGCATATTTTTAATAGGGGCACATTGTAACGCAGTGTGACAACATGCCCCGCCTGCAAAACCGGGGTTTAAACCCTAGAACTATAGCGTTAAATAACTCTATCAACTGTTAAACAACTGATTGGAGATTAAAATAATATCAGATTTGTCTAATTTTAAATAAACACAAAAAATAGAGATGAAAAATTAGCTTAAGTAAGAAATCAGTTATATATGTTCAGTGATATCTTACACAGATTTTTCTCTATATAGTGTTGAAATGGCAACTAGTAAATACACCAAGTTTCGTCATGCTAGCATGTGTGGAAGTATTGTGTGTTACAATACAACTAGCCCCACGCTCCCCTACTTATATCATATTATTTAAATTATTATCGTAATCATAAACACACTTTACCATTCACAGCATTATGTTATTCTTCCAATTTTTTGTTGAGTCTCCAGTCCACTCATTCAAAGAAAATAGGTTACTTCTGGCATTGAAAAATAAGGTGGATACAAACTTACAAAGACAGCTATTTATGTAGAACACACATTATATGGTTCAATAATAGCTAGTGAAACAGTCAGCATAATTCAACAACGTTTGTGCTACATTCCTGTCACATGACCTCCTTTCTTTGCATTTGAACTATTAATCTTGTAAAAATGTCTTAACTTTTAGTAGTCCCATACAAAAATTAATTTGCTTTAAAAACATAAGTCTGCTTAAAACTAGGGCTGTGCAAAAATTAATTGCGATTAATCGCATCCAAAATAAAAGTCTGTGTTTACATAATATATTTGTGTGTGCTGTATATAATTATTTTGTATATATAAATACCTATGCATGCATGTATATATTTAAGAATTATTTGCGCTTAAATTCTGTATATACATAAATACATAATCTATATTATATAAATATTTTATATATAAATAACACATTTTCTTAAATATATACATGCATGTGTGTGTATTTATATATACAAAATAATTATATACAGCACACACAAATATATTATGCAAACACAGGATGCAGGTTTTGCACAGCCCTACTTAAAACACTAAAATAGTACTATGCTGTTATGTTTTTTGACTGCATTTCTCTGTCTCCAGAAACATGCCAAAGGCCAGGAGCTGTTTGCAAAGGTGTGTGACCACCTGAACCTGTTAGAGAAGGACTATTACGGTCTGGCCATATGGGAGACACCAACCATAAAGGTACCTCACTCACATTCGTTTAATATTTGGCCTACTGCTATTCTTTTTCTTGACAAAATGAGTTTAATTTAACTTTTGAATTGTTAATTCTATCATATATATTTTTCAAATGATTGACTGTATTTTAAAATAGATTTGCTTTGTGTTTTGATAGCAGTGAAGGCCTGATCACACCAAGAACGATAACTAGAACTTCAAAGTTTTAATGCTGAATCTAATTATATGAGAATAGATATGTCTACAGCTTTAGCTTTAAAGAGCTTGAGCATTTAAAACGGCAAATGACTCAAATGCAGAATGTTTGGAGGGAGTTATTGTTGTAATTATCGTTCTTGGTGTAAAAAGGCCTTTAAAGCTTCCCTTTTCTTTCAGACATGGCTGGACTTTACTAAGGAGATCAGACGGCAGGTACAAGGTGAGTGACCGATCAAACTCGTCGTTGGTATGTTATAATTATCAGAACGTCAAATTGTTGCTATTTTAAATCATGTTTACATATTTCTAGGCACCAACTATGATTTCACATTCAATGTGAAGTTCTACCCACCTGATCCTGCCCAGCTTTCAGAAGACATCACCAGGTGAACAGCACTTTCTTTACTCTAGATATAATGTGCAGACACACCACGGTCTCTCTTGAGTTCTGGCCAGGCGCTTTGACTTTTTCATTGACCTTTTTGCATTCACTCATCTTTCCTAAATGTTTCCTTTGCCTAATGTCTAGGATTATAGCCGTATAGAAATAAAATCGGTTTGGCGATTTAGTCCGATTATCGGCTGTGATCTAATAAAATATATTTGCTGCTGGTAGACTTCTGGCGCCCCTAAAGCAAACATTTTGAGTTCATGGAAAACACCAACATGTCAAGAGCAGTGTTCTCTTGTTTTCCTGTGTTGTTTTTTTAACATTAAATGTCAGAGACAGCAGGAGGTTTATTATTATATTAACGTGCCTAAATATAACATCTTGCCAATGGACTACAGTTGAAAATTAACACTGGCACGTTTAGGGATGGGCAAAGATTAATCGCGATTAATCGCATCCAAAATAAAAGTTTGTGTTTACATAATATATGTGTGTGTAGTGTTTATAATTAATTTGTAGATATAAATACCCACACATGCATGTATATATTTAAGACAAATGTGTTATTAATATATCAAACATAATTAATATAATATTAATTGTGAATAAATATCTATAAAATATACACATGCACATATTTCTTAAATATATACATGCATGTGTGTGTATTTATATATACAAATTAATTATACACACCACACACACATATATTATGTAAACACAAACTTTTATTTTGGATGCGATTAATCGCGATTAATCGTTGCCTATCCCTAAAATGTGCACTGCCCTAAAATAAATAATTGAAATGAAATGAAAATTATATTGTCTAATATATTGACAAGTGTTTGATTATTTTCCCAAATGTTTATGTTCACTTAAAGTAGTAGTTCACTTAAAAAAAAAAAAACTTTTGCTGATAATTTACTCACCCCCCGCCATGTCACTCAAGATGTCCACGTCTTTCTTTCTTCAGTCGAAAAAGAAATTAAGCATTAAGCATTTTCTCCATATAATGGACTTCAATGGGGACCAAACGGTTCAAGGTCCAAAAGACAGTTTCAGTGCAAACTGTTCAAAGGGCTTTAAACAACACCAGACGATGAATCAAGCGAAACGATCGCTCAAATTATAAATAAATAACAAAGTTTAAGTTTTATAAGCACAAATGCTCGCCTTGCTCTGTTCTGTGATGCGCATTCGTGACTCTCCTGTTCGAACTCGTTCATCAAAATGAACAAATCTTTTTCCGAGTCAATACGAAGAATGAACCAAATAACTTGAAAAAAGATTTGTTCATTTTGATGAACGATTTTGAATAGGAGAGTCACGAATGCACATCACAGAACAGAATGAGTGATCGTTTCGCTTGATAAGACCCTTATTCATCGTCTGGTGTCGTTTAAAGCCCTTTGAATGGTTTGCACTGAAACTGTCTTTTGGACCTTGAACTGTTTGGACCCCATTGAAGTCCAATATATGGAGAAAAATCCTGGAATGTTTTCATCAAAAACCTTAATTTTTTTTCGACTGAAGAAAGAAAGACGTGAAAATCTTGGATGCCATGGGGGTGAGTAAATTATCAGCAAAAGTTTTTTTTTAAAGTGAACTACTCCTTTCAGACAGAACTGACTTCGTTAAAATGAGCATGCAGTTCTCTAGTTTCATTCCCCGGGTTTCATTATCACACTTGTAAATTACAAAACCCCTTTCACCCTGAATAATCACAGTGGCACACACTGACGTCCCTTTACTGTTGTTGTCACGGTTCCAGTTTTTGACTCTTGTGTCTACAAAACTTGTCCCAACTTGTAATATGATATCCTGGCACATAATGTCACATTGTCTTTGAGTTTTTGAGCGTAAATGAAATGACTTGCTCTGCGCAGGTACTACTTGTGTTTGCAGCTGCGGAAGGACATAAAGAACGGCCGTCTGCCCTGCTCTTTCGTGACCCTGGCCCTGCTGGGCTCTTACGCCCTGCAGTCTGAGTTGGGTGAATACGACCCCGAGGTTCATGCCAGTGACTATGCCAAGGAGCTCCAGCTGATCCCAGGACAGACCAGAGAGCTTGAGGAGAAAGTCATGGAGCTTCACCGCACATACAGGTGATCGTGACTGTTTCTTGTTGGTGGGGTGATGATTAGGATTTATTTTCATACATAAATACTTAGGATAAATGGATGTTTGGGAAACTTCTGTTTGGGCAGGATAGGGATAAGATCAAAATATATATTTTTTTGCTCTTTTTGCACGTTTCGTTATTAAATTAATGTTATGATCCTGATTAACCCTCAGGTGCTCTTCGGTCATTTCTGACCGAAAAAATTTCTGTTTTGAATTTTTAAAAATCACAGCTTCATCGTAATGTTACAAAACTTGGTGACATTTATGGTATTATGTATGTGAACACACAAAAAAATTGAGGTCATGATCCGAGCATGCTAAGTGGTCTTTAAAAAATAGTCACACTTGTGGTCTTTGGTCAAAAATGACCCCCATAGGAAATGAATGGGAAATTGACAAAAACACAAAAATTCACAATTTTTTATTTATTTTTTTACATTTAAAAAAAAACAAAAAAAAAACGTTTTTGAGATTGTTTCAACTATATATTCAAATCCACCAAAAAAAACAAAAAAAAATGTGTTCATAAACAGCTGGGGAATTCACATGCCTCTCCATAGAGAGCTGTACATGCCATCTAGTGGTTACACCATGATTCTACGCTTTTTCTCTATACTGTAAACAGATGGTGCTAATTTTCTTCAAAAAATATATTTTTTTTGCTGAAGGCCTAGACTCTATATTAAACTAAAATACTGCATTAATAATTTTTTGAAAAAAATAATATATATATAGAAATATATATATATATTTCCATGGCAAAAATAGACCATAAATATTAATAAATTCAATCAAATTGTCTCAAAATACTAAATTACAAAGAATAAATATTATAGAACAAAAATAAATTGCATTGGTTTTACTGGGATGGAAGAAATTTAATTTTTAGGTGTCTGGTCACTTCTGACCGGGAAGATAACAAGTGTGACTCCGAAACGAAGAGCACCTGAGGTTTAAAATTAGATGCGAATTTAGGTGTGTTGCACTTTCAAATAAACTGTCTAGATTGCAGGATAAATGTAGCATGTTTCCCCCCTGCAGATCTATGAGTCCGGCTCAGGCTGATATGATGTTCCTGGAGAATGCCAAAAAACTGGCCATGTATGGGCTTGATCTCCACCAGGCAAAGGTACAGTAGATTTGACGAAAGACACTTTCCACGAATGCGATATGAAAAATTATGGTTTAAAATAGTGAGAAATAAAATTAAAATAAACTGTTTGTCATACTAAATATTAAATGAGTTGTTTTATTGTCTTTCCAACATGAATATGTTTGCATCACAGTTTAAAATCCAGGATTTCTTTTAACTTTTAAAAAAAAAATTGAATTAAACATCAATATCAAATAAATTAAATGTGTTTTTTTTAAGAGAAAACAGTTATTTTTAATTGCAATAATATTTCATAATATTACAGTATTTTTATATCAAATAAGTGCAGCTTCGTTGAGCAAAATACATTTCTTTCAAAAACATTCAAACATCTTACCGACCTGAAACTTTTTTTTTATTTTTATTTTTTTTTATTGCAGATTAACAAAACAGTAACACTATAAATTAAATTTTTAACATTTTAAAATAAATTAAATACAAAAATATTATATGCCAGCATAAATTAAATTAAGTTGGTTTTGTAGTTATTGATACACTTATAAATGTTTTGATCTTTTTTTTTTTTGCATTAACTTTGGTCGTTGATTGGGTTATAATAATAATAGTAATAATAATACATTCATTTAAAATACATTCAATAACATGTCTCAGTTAGACAATGTGATTTTTCCCAGAATTGATTAAACCTTCATATCACAGGAGTGCTTGTGATAAAAGCATTGCATGTCCTTCCACTGCTCAGATTTGGAAGCTGAATCCAGGTCAATCTGTTTGCAGCAAGCCTTGGATTTAAATAAATGATAGAATTGACTTTTTTAAAAGTGAAGCAGGGGCGCCCCCTAATGGTGGAGCTTTGTAAAGTGCAAAATGTTGTTTACACTGTGGAGTCAAAATATGATATGTATTGTTTTCTCTTTCTGTCAGGATCTGGATGGGGTGGATATAATGTTGGGGGTTTGCTCCAGTGGCCTGATGGTGTATAAGGACAAGTTGAGGATTAATCGATTCCCCTGGCCAAAAGTTCTCAAAGTCTCCTACAAACGCAGCAGTTTCTTCATCAAGATACGGCCATCTGATGTATTGCATATCTATTTAGTTAATTTCATTATAATAACTATTGGTGATTGTTCTGTTCCCACCTGTACTGTATGTGCACTGCGCAGTTATCATTTGTTGCAATCCATTTTCTTTTTAACACTTTTTAAAACATTTTTAACCCAATGTTTTTCCCTATTTGACCCCAAATTGGGTTAAAACAACCCAGCATTTTTTAGAGTATACATTTTTTTTTTAAATATTAACCTTTCTTTTATAATATCATCCATATACTGATGTTTAGAATGTAATTAGCTATATTCACAGTCTGTTTAATACAACATACATTAAAACAAGCTTAATTAACTGGGAAATTCTAAAAATGAAACGTTACATCTATTTAGTTAATTTTTTATTATAATAACTATTGGTGATTGTTCTGTTCCCACCTGTACTGTATGTGCACTGTGCAGTTGTCATTTGTTGCAATCCATTTTCTTTTTAACACTTTTTAAAACATTTTTTTTAGCTGGAACATTACGAAAGCGCCATTGGCTTTAAACTGCCCAACTACAAGGCTGCCAAAAAACTGTGGAAAGTTTGTGTGGAGCATCACACATTCTTCAGGTATAAATATCAAGCAATGCTTCACAACACATAGACAGCAGTCACATCTTTTAGTGACTGTTTGTTTTTATAAATTCATTTGAGTCCACATACTTCATGATCTTGAAGAGCTGTAAACTCTTCTGTCCCAGGTTGACTTCCACAGAGGCGGCCACCACTCCCAGGAAGTTCCTGGCTCTGGGGTCAAAGTTTCGCTACAGCGGGCGTACTCAGACTCAGACACGTCAAGCCAGCTCCATGATCGACAGACCTGCCCCTCATTTCCAGCGCTCTGCCAGCAAGAGGGCATCTCGCAGCTTAGATGGAGGTGTGTAACCATGATCTACTGTATGAAATCATTTTGATTTGCTATATTCAGCTCTGAATGGACCTTATTCAGAGCAGCACCATGACAGGTATGAAAGTGAGGCTGTGAGGGATAGACTTACCGTGTTTTCAATGGCATCCGCTGTAAAAAGCTGAATAAAGCGGCTAGATTACTTACAATTTTCCACAGCTTACATTGTCGGGAGATTTTTGTCAACTAAAATTTCTTTGAAAGATATTTTTCCAGTGTTTCATGAGCAAAACAAAACGAAAACACATTAAATAACAATACAGCCCATTGAAGAGATGCAAGTCTATCCCTCACAGCCTCGCTTTCATTCTCATTAAAAATCAAAGATGGCGCTGCCGTGAATAAGGCGTGTGCCTATGGGTACAGAAAGTTATATTGAAAATAGAGACAGATGATTGGCAAACTTTGTTGGATTCTGGTCAATCACAGCTAGTTAAGTTAGTTACCTCTAGAGCCAGACCGATATATCGGCCGGCCGATATTAGGCATTTTCCAAAGTCAAGTCGAACTTTATTTATAGAGCACAAGTTTAACACAACCGTAGTTGATCCAAAGTGCTTTCCAGTACAATAAAATAGTTCAAATAAAATAAATAAAGTAAAAAGAGATAAAAGCAAGTAGCAAACCCTTTGGTGTATCAACATATACAACCTGTAGAACACCGACTAATTTAAAAATAAATACATGACCTTATTCGAACGCAAGAGAGTAAAAATAGGTTTTTAAACTGGATTTAAAAGCAGCCAAGGATGGAGAGATCCTGATGGTTAAAGGTAAACTGTAATATCAAAATATCGGTATCGGCAGTTATAATGGCCGATAAATGAATATTTAAAAAATAAAATAAAAACGAACGAAACACGCTTCAATCATCTCTCCCTGCCCTGTTATATTGAAAATGTATGTTTTTACAATTTGCAGTATATGATGTTATCTATTGCTAAATTATGGCTCATCATAGACTGGCTTATGGCTTATCACAGTGGAAGACTAACGCTAACGTTAACATTAATGAGCTTGGAAACCACAATGAACTTTTTCTGCCTAAATAAAGTAATGATTACTGTATTTATAACTCGCATATCTCTAGTTACAGTCCCTGCATTGTAAAATGAAGTTATACTTGCGAGGAGTGAACATTTAGACATAGAGAAAAAGTATCAAACGTATCTTGTGCAGAAAAGTTAGCTTTTCTTTTACACGTGTGTGAAATCCAACAATATTTACCAAACAAAAAAAAATATCGGCCGATATATCGGAATATCGGATTTTAAAACCCAAAAATATTTGTATCGGTATCGGCCTTCAAAATCCTTTATCGGTCGGGCTCTAGTTACCTCAGGGAGTGTGACATCACAAGTCTGATCAGAGTTGCTGTATGGAGGGTCTCTTGAGGTTGTGTATTGATTAAAGCAGCTGGATGTGTAGATGGGGACAGCTCACTAGAGATTGGAACAGAGCCACTTGTCTCTGAGGTAAAGTGAAGGTGTTTTCTTGTGGTATAAATAAACTGGTTGCTTTTAGGCAGTGCAGGTGAACTTACGATGAGAGACGCATCACAGCAGGGGTGTGATCCAGAAAAGCAACCCTCGTTAACCCACTGAAAATTTAATTATTCATCCTCAGGTAGAATATGGACACAGACTTAATTACTTTCTGTATTCATCAGAGATACACCGTTGGTTATTTATTTCATAAAAATTCCTTACATAGCCTAGTCTTTTGAAGGTTTCAGTTCCCTCCCTCCCTGAAATGCTTATAAAAGGAATAGACAGAATGATTGCTTTTTGTTTGATTAAAATGTTGGTTCCTGAAAATTTCTATTCCTATAAGTTTGGTATTGTTTATTCTTGTGGATAACAACTCTAAGCATGCACCTGTAAAGGCAATAAAGTTCATGAAGAGTGAGATTTTGAGTACCTGAAGCAGTTGTTTATGGGTTTTTTTTTTTTTTGGAAAGAAACACTGCAGAATCATGATTGGTTTGTGCTCTTTGGCTGCACTCTTTCAGAAACCTCTTTTTCCTGAGGTGGAGCTTTATTCTTTATTCTTCCTCCTAAAGTTTCTACTCTTATGGAAAACAACAGGATCTGCCACTGTGTTTACTTTGTTTGAAGATTGTTTCATATTTGAGATGACTCAAAAGACTATTTTAACTTGCCCAAAAACAGCATGATGATATATATATATATATGAAGAGTTCAGATGCAAAAGCCTCTAAATGCCATTTGAAATTTTCTTCTAAAATGATCATTTTTATCAAGCTTGTATATTTAAGTTCAGTAATTTCACTTAAATGACAATTAATAGGTAATTATCATTACCATTTAAGTGAAATTACTGAACTTAAATATACAAGCTTGATAAAAATGATCATTCTAGAAGAAAATTTCAAATGGCACTTAGAGGCTTTTGCATCTGAACTCTTCATATATAGATAGATAGATATACTGTGTATATATATATATATATATATACACACGACATATAATATATATATATATATGTAATTTCTTAACACATTTTTTAAAAATGACTAAAAAGTAGGGCTGTCAAACGATTAATCACGATTAATCGCATCCAAAATAAAATTTTGTGTTTACATAATATATGTGGGTGCATTGTGTATAATTATGTTATATATATAAATACACACACATGCATGTATATTTAAGAAACAAATATTATTTATATATAAAATATTTATATTTTTATATAATATAAATTATATATAAATCTAAATACAGTATTTTCATGAAAATATTTCTTAAATATATACAAGCATGTGTGTGTATTTATATATATATATCAAATAATTATACACAGTGCACCCACCTATATTATGTAAACACAAACTTTTATTTTGGATGCGATTAATCGTGATTAATCGTTTGACAGCCTTACTGAAAAGTACTCTTTAAATTATATTTTGCTGTTCTTTAAAGAAGTACCCTTATTTTAACGTGTTGACTGACATAGTACATCTCATGTAAAGTACTTCACTAACTGTAGCGTGTTATTCAATATTACATTTAAAGTTCATGATAATAAATAGTATTAAATGCAACTTCATTACAAATGAAATGGCATTAAAGTATGTTTAATCTTTATTAGTAAATTCGGCAGTACACTTGAACCATTTCAAAGACAACAGAATAATGACGTTATATTTAATATGTTTTGATGTGGGCTAAAAAACACTTTAAAGTTCATCTGGTGGTATTTATTATTAATATAAACTATAACATATTATGATTTTTTTTTTAACAACACATTCAGTTTTCACTTATAGTATATTCATTTCTAAAATAAGTACTCTTTTTTAAAAGTATGCTAAAGTGTACTCTTTTTTCAAAGTGTTTGAATCGTTTATCACAACAAGAATGTGTGTTACTGCTTGTGAGTCTGTGTTTCTCATCAGAGGTGCACAGCAAACACCTAAACCCTATGTTAAAGTGACCTTATTCATTTTTACTCTCTGATTTTAGTGTAACTCCCATACATTTCTCTCCGACAGCCATGGTTTCGACCCCAGATAAGAATGCGCGTCCCGTCAGCGCTCCCATTATGTCCCCCATCTCCCCTGGTGATGTGGCTCCTTCCCCAGTGGCATCTGCCGCCCGCACTGACCGTAAAGAGACGTCCACGCCCACGGGCCGTCTACGCTCCTCTGAGAGGAAGAGTGAGGTGAAGGCCCATGTGACAGATGGCTCCAAAACTCACAGCACCAAAGCAGAGGGCACACCTGAAATCAAGGTATGCCACATACACAAACATATATACTATAGTTTGGAAATGTATTTTAAATCATAGTTAATGATTTAATCGTGCACCAGGTTCCTAAACATGAGCCAAGTGTGAAAACGCCCTTCAATGAAATGTAGAAATTAGGGCTGGGTAATAAATATCGATTTCTCGATATTAATCGATTCTCATTTCTACGAACCGATATCGATTCTTAAATCTCAAGAATCGATTAGTCATCCTGTTTCATTTGATAGAATGGATCATTGTATCGCAATAATCTTTGTCCTTTGTTACTATTGATATGAAACAAAGTCTCAATTTTCAAATTACGTCCATTTTCTTTAGAAATTCAAAAACATAAATAGCGTTTTGTCGCTGTGGCGTGAGATCGCTCTGGAGAAGCAGCAGCGCTGATCTCTCTTCCGGCTTAATAATACCAGTCACAGCGCCAAATTAACATGAATGAGCATCTGAAAGTGTGTTAAAGATAGAGTACAACTTATCCAAATCCGGATCATGTCACATTGATTCGCTCAATCAGCGTTTCAACCGTGGAAAGACGTCAGTTAAACAGCTTGTAATCAATGTCATCGTCATATTTACCTCAGAAAACCCACATAAACTCGTTAGTCAGCTAGAAAAAATAACTCTAGAGAGGAGCATTTCCCTAAATATATACACCATATTACATATGCATTATAATCTTAATGTTCTTCAATATTTAATGCATATTTCAATAAATCTGGCAAGTTTTTATGACAGCCACCATTTAAATGTTTTTATTTCATATGATCTTCTTATTATAAAATTAATAAAAATGTAATTTAAGTGTTTGCTACAAAACAGTTCATTATTACCTTCATATTAGGCTAATGAAGCCTATAGGCTACAACTAGACTCCCATAGTTTACAGCATTAGTTAAGAGATTTGATTCCCTTGAGAAAAATTGCCATTTATTGTAGCTGATTTAAAAGTTGTATTCAACCAAAGAAAAAAAAACTTCAACTAAAAAAAAAAAAAAACGTGATGTTTTGATTAAACATTTTTTAAACAATTGTCATTGAGCATTTATAAAACAACAACGAAAAAACATCACAAATAAATAAAACTATAATAATAATACAATTCTTTGAAAATTAAGTGATTTTTTAACTGCAAAAAGTGAAGAGCTCTGTCCTAGGTCTATAGTAACAGTCACAACCGCGCACCTGACCACACCACACGCTGCAAAAAATATAACTGCTGTCTGCCACATAATGAAAAATCCCAACAAAAGCTCTCATTTATACAGGCTTTATATTCTTCTTTACTTTCAAAGCTATGGGTTAACTTTCGTCCTGACGATCAAGGCGTTTTAAACAACACACAAAAAAAACAAATAACTTAAAAACAATCCTAATAATAGGCTGTAGGACCGCGTATATTATTTTCGTTTTGTTGCATTATTTAGGCTATTTTCAAATGCGTCAAGTGTACAAATAAAAACGAAAACACAATCTATTGAGTCAGCATGATATAGCCGTTAAAAGGCTGCTCACGTCTTTTGCGCGCTCAAGTTCGATTTCAAATGTTGGCGAGCAACTTGCTTGCACACTTGTAGGCGAGCGAATCCAAAATAATCAATATTGAATCAAATCGAATCGGAATCGCAATCTTGTGAATCGAAATCGAATCGAATTGTGAAATTTGTGTCAATACCCAGCCCTAGTAGAAATACTTTTTTATAAACCTGCAGCACAGACTCCTAACTGCCCTTTGAGTAAGTGATCAGAAAGCAAGCCTAAAAGTACCCGTAAGAAGCCGCAAGGCCTTTTCATAACTAGAATGATTACAGTTCCAATTATAAAGAAAAAAGCTTGAGACCACACATGTAAGACGTGATGTTTAAGTCTATTTGAGACCGCAAGAGTATGAATACGCTCTCTGTGCTGCTACAGACAGTAGCCCGGCGAGAACGGCGGCACCGTGATGCCCCGGTGCTGACGGCCACAAATGGGGAAAGAAAGAGCCAGGTTTGTGCTCATGATTTCAGCCAATCACTAAGGCTGTTATAATATGCATAAAATATTAGTCAATGCTGATAATATTATAGTATCATACTATTAAGACGTAAGAGAATCATAACCACTGTGAATCTTGTTTTTTTTTGATGCAGTAAAGGCCAATTTATACTTCTGCGTTGCGTCTAACGGAGAGCCTTGGCACTTCCTATGAGCCCCGTTGTGTATCACCTTGGTTGCAGTTCCATTAGAATTCCACTGGAGGTGATCACGGGCGAGTGCAGAATGAATGGGAGTCTATGGGGCTAAACGGCTAGATGTGTCTCTTTCACCTGCTTGTTGTTAAATCAAAATAGATTTTATTGTTGATTCCGCAAGTTCAATATAGATTATAGGCCAAAAGTCGAATGAACGAGTACTTTTGATTTCTTACAGGTTAGGCCGTTGTTGGCCGGAGCACGCTAGCATTCTGCTATTGTGTGACGTCATCACAGTTTTGAACGGGTTTTTAGAACAGATAAGTGAACTTAAAAATGCAGTTTTCAGCTGAGTGTATTATCTTAGCCCTCCCTTTTGAATGCAACTTTCAAATTACTTGACAAAAAATTACATCCTGAGAAAAGTGGATTTCTGTGGGTGAAACCCCATTGACTCCCATTCATTCTGCACTCGACCGCGAGCGCCCCCGCATGGACAGAGACGCGTTACTGCAGCCAGTGCCAATTCTCTTCAATTAGACATTCTCTGGTGCGGCGTAGCATACGTACAGATGCGTACCATACCGCGTACCCTTCGACGTAGCCTGACGCGCACCTCCTCAAAAATGTAACTACTAGAGCCCGACCGATAAAGGATTTTGAAGACCGATACAAATATTTGTTGGTTTTAAAATCCGATATTCCGACGTATCGGCCGATATTATTATTTTTTTAATTATTTCAGAAATGTGCAACAAAATATTAAAAAAATTCCTTAACATAGTTATTTGTAGTTAATTATGAGTTTTAACAAAAAATAATATGATAATGCATAACTGGTTTTCTCTGCCCGACTCTGGCTGGATCAGCAGGTTGCAGGATCGCGTTATACATGGTGTAGAGTGCCCTCTGGTGGACAAACTATACAACGCCAACACTCATAACATGGTTGAAGCGTGATTTGTCTATTTTTAATTTTGAAATATTCATTTATCGGCCGTTATAACTGCCTAATATCAAAATGCCTAATATCGGCCGATAATATCGGCCTGCCGATATATCGGTCTGACTCTAGTAACTACACGTCGCGACGACGCGGACCGCAAGATCTGTGATTGGTCGGCTTGGTAGCATCGCATTTCCTCCTACGCATTTCCGCACAACGTCTTCTCTCGTTTCCGCCTTTTAGTTTTAGTAATTTCACTAAAATTAACTGTTTTTCCACCTCAATAAGTTTCAATTCCAACATGATCCGCTCTCTTTCAGTCGCCATTGATTGTAGTAACCTAAACACAGCGGAACATTAAAACCCTCCGCCGCCAACTAGTGTTTCGGAGCAGTACTGCAGAGCAACCAAGACCTGAACGCAGAAGGATAATATGACGACGCATAAGTATAAATTGGCTTTAAGTCAGTTGCAAAGAGGTAGCTTGTTTTGTAGACACTTACATACTCTCTTCCTTCCCCTCTGGGGTCTAAACAGTCGCCACGGGCGGACATTGAGATGGTGCGCATGAGGAAGGTCAGAGCTCGTTCTATACAGTCATCACAGCATGAGGACGATGCCATTGTACTCATCATTTCCTCACTGCCCATGTTTTACAACAAAAATCTAATTTATTATTTTTTCTCATCTGCTTTGGCTGTATCTTGCTTGCACTTGTATGAGACGGCACTGTCGCTGTCAGATACACACCTGTTCAGGCTGCAACAGTGAATCAGTGCATATCATGTATTATTAAAATAACATTCATATCATGTATTAAAATATATTTGTAAAATACACATTCATAATGATGAAGCAATTTAGAATTTAGTGCATTTTAAATGTTATATTAAATAACATACTACAGTTAAAATTATAGTAAATACTTTATATGTGCTTTAATGTGTTTGTAAATACTTTCAGATAAGTATACTTCTTTAAAGCACAGTCAAAAATAAGTTTTAATTTAAAGTGCATTTTAAAACATTTCAAAGCACATTTAAAAAAATTGTGCTTAACTCTTTTTTTTAACAGCATTTTTTTAATGTTTTTTTTTAAATCATTTTGTTGTATGAATATCTGAACTTGCAATATATCAAAAAAAAGGACAGACCCTCTGCTTTTAAACAACAAAAACAACAACAAAACATTTTATTTTAGCTTCATGGATTCCCCCCCACCCCCCCATTCATTAAAAAAGCTCAATTTTCAGCAAAAAAGATGAGTAAAAATGCATAAAAGGCTGATAATTCTGTCAATGGCAGCCCTTGCTGGGAGAGAGTTTAGTGTGTTGTTAATAAACATTAACATAACCATGAAAGTATATGCTCTAAGTACACTTAAATGTGATTTAATTAATATTATATCATGCAAGTAGTTCTTCTTTTAAATACAGTTTTAAGATTTTAAAGTAGCACTACAAGTGCACATTCAATACAATTAAGTACACTTCTTTTTTTTTACAAGGGTCATATGAGAAATACAAGTGTGGTCAAGTATGTCCAAACTGTTGACTGGTAATGTGCTTTTATATACTTTAGCTAATCATGTGGTTATAGACTTTAGACAATGCTCAGTAATATTTATCTTATACTAAACATTTTCAAGAAAAAAAATGAATTGATGTTGCTGGATCAGGATGCTCAATCAAATGCAGCATTGATTTAATAACACTAGGGAATAGCGTTTCACATATGATTGCAAATACACTTTCATTAATTTACTCATTGCACAATTAGTCGTGATCTTGCAGTCACCCCTGACCTATGACCTCTCGCCTCTGTCTAGCTGCTGTGGTTCATCATGCATATTTGATTTGTCTCCATCCCTGCATATCCTCACACACTGAATGCAACTGCAGTTCAAAGTTTTTTTAAAAAAATACCCAAGAATCATTTCATGATTTTCTCTACGTTCAAACACTGCCAACTTTTTCCCCCCTGTTCTTCACAGAAAAGAGCTAAGAAAATTGAGGGTGAAACTATTTATATCAAACATAGCAATTTAATGTTGGAGGTTTGTATTGAAACTCTGGAAATGTCTTGTATTTGCCGCTGCATGTCTCACTGCATGATATTCTTTTTCATCTTTCTTCATTCTTCTCACCGCACACTCTCTTTTGTGTTTTGTTTTGTAGCTTAACCCTAAAGGCTTGGCATGCACTATTTACCTCACTAACTGTAATGCAAGTACTCACTTTTATTTATTCTTCTGCACTATTTCATTAAATATATGATTGGGAATTTAACTTTTAAAATTTCTTTTATATGAACTGTATTTACTTTCTTTTTTCTTCAGTTCATAATTTAATGCAAAATTGATCGGATACAAAGATTTAGCAAGTAGTGACTGACTTTATTTCAATTAGCTGTTGACTCTATGCTTATTCTGTTCCAGCTTTTCTAAATATTTCTAATGGGCTTTTCACACTTTAAATGATTAAAAATGTATAACCCTGTATATCTCGTTTCCTGTTTACTTTACTCTGGATTATTAAATGAATCCTGCATGGTCATATTTTGAGATTTCACACTAGATTTAGCCTGCAGGCTGGCCTGCAAATTGACGTCATGGCTAAACAGTTCAATACAAATGATTGATAAAGAACAGCATGTGTACAGAACTACCCAACTGTCGAATTATCATCACATAAATATGCTAAATGTGCATAAATGACAATAATACAGTCTATTCATCACCAATTAAAGGAGAACTCTGGCGCAAAATGAACGTTTGGTCTAATAAAACATCGGTAGTCGACCGTTCTCTGAGATTTGTTTTCATGATAATCGAATGTAAAGAGTTTTATCTCTAAAAACTGTTTAGCGTATAACTTAATTTACTAAGTAAAAAGAAATCGCTAGTTTATACCACTAACAAGGCTCAAAATAGCCCCACGCTAATGAGGGTCCATACATTTAAGCATAAACGAAGCATTAAGAACTTTGTAAGTGTACAGACCGTTTAATAAGAAGATACTTATGAAGACAGTTCACTTCGTGTATACAGACAGGAGCCATCTTTGAAAATAGTCTCGATAAGTCGATCCCCGAACGCCGTTCACACAGTTCAGAAGATCTCTGAACTTCATACAGTTCAGATCACTCAGCATGACGTTCGTGGTTTGACTTGTCGAGACTATTTTCAAAGATGGCTCCTGTCTGTATACACGAAGTGAACTGTCTTCATAAAGTATCTTCTTAAACGGTCTGTACACTTACAAAGTTCTCAATGCTTCGTTTTGCATGTATGGACCCTCGTTATGTTTCTGTGTTAGTGTGGGGCTATTTTGAGTCTTGTTAGTGGTATAAACTAGCGATTTCTTTTTACTTAGTTAATGCTCTCAGTACTAGCATTATACGCTAAACGCATTATATGTTTTTAGAGATAAAACTCTTTACATTCGCTTATCATGAAAACAAATCTCAGAGAACGGTTGACTAGGTACCAATGTGTTCATTTTGCGGCGGAGTTGTCCTTTAATATTTTCTGTCACGGATATTTTTAATAGTTTACCCAGTATTTTTACACCGAGACTAAACAAAGCGACTGAGATGGATATGGATATTTAATCCAAGTCAGGATTTCATGACTTAAATGTTAACTTAAAGAGTTAAACATAGTGTGACACGCCCATAAATATGCTGAAAACGTGTACTGTTTAATAAAGTATAATAATTGTCTGTCCATTTAACTACTAATTCATGTTTTTATGTATCTATTTGTTATCTGATTACATGATTATATTACTGATTTGCAGTGTTGTATGATACAGATTATACAGCCTGTCCCAGTCATATATTTACATTCTACAATAAGCTACAAAAGCTGTTTGTTTGTGTTGTCCTTGATGAGTCTGATAATGAGTCTGACAACCAGATGGATTCTGTGACATTAACCCCTTCAGCCACAACATGACCTCTTCTCTAACCAAACATCTTGTATAACACTGTGCCTCCATCACATATATACTTTTATTATATTAACTGCTAAGATTGCTGTTGGTGTTTGAGACAAGCACTGTTTTGCACTTTGCTTTGTTTCAGAAATCAACCGATTAACAGACATGTGTCAAATCAATCATATGCTGCATTCAGTATGCTATAGCTTTACAATGGAATATAGTTACAAACTGTATAACATGCTCTTATACAGCACGGTTAGAGATTTGACCCATGTCTGAACCTAAGCTTAGTTCACATGTTAAAACCGACGAAGTGCTTACATGATTACCACCTCATCTACCTTTTATAGAAGAGTTTAATTAATGAAATAACATCAGAAATGAGATATTTTTTAAACTAAAGTGAGCTGCCTGCCAGACTAGCTTTTAAGGCATCATAAGCAATCCAGGAAAGCTATACATAATAGTGCTACACAAAATTATTTGTATTTATTATTTCAACTGTCTGAAGTCAGTGAATGTGGATGATGAGGTCTGGATTCTCATGAGAGTGTTTCACTCTTGCAGATGTTCTGTTGGGCGCTGATACACAGATCACTTCTCTCCATTTTATTTCCGAAGTCTCTGTCTACCATAGTTAAAGGGATAAAGATCAGCTGAGATTGTATACCAACGGTCTCTCTCTTGATCTCATTAATCACAGTTTGTCTGCACACACATGGATCACAAAGACTCCTCTATGAAATGAATATTCATAGCTGATTACACGATGCCGCTGAGAGACAAATCAAGCTGCGGGTGCTGAGGAAAAGGGGAAAATGCAATTATAAGACAGTGAAGGTGGAAGAGAAGAGAGCTGTGTCTTGGTGACTCATGGGCGATCTGTACAATGGCTTTGTGTGTGACTGAAAACCGATGTAACTAGGGATGGGGATCATAAGAAGAAATTTCATGATTTTGGTTCCTTAGTGACTATTAGCTACTAACTATTCAGTGTGTGAATTGGTTGATGAATTCATGACTCAAGAGTTCAAGACTAATTAAAAATAACTGCTTCTACACACTGTACATGTCAAAGCGTCTTCACTTTATAGCCCTTAATCCTGTAATTGTGGACAAATGTGGGCACAGAGGACTTTTTATTTATTATAAATGTTATGTCAGTGTCTTCGATAAAGTTTTGTCTATCCATTTATGGTGTTTTCTTTTATTTTGGGGGTATTTTTGAATTTATTTACTTCAAAAAGTACCATATTTTCTATGTAAATTATGCTTATTTTTATGTTTTATTTTTTTTAACTATATTAAAATATCATTCCAATAAGTTCTCAGAGCTAAAACCTAAAGATGAAGTGACTTTGCCGTCACCTGGTGTCTTATTTTAGAATGCTCTAAATTACAGTTTTTCCCATTCATTTCTATGGGTGCCCATTTTTGACCCAAATACAAGATTAAGGAGGTTTTTTTCACCCACTTAACATTGTAGAATTGAGTTTTAAAAAATGTTTTGCTTGTTTAGGAGGCAAACTTAGGAAAAGTACCCAAGTCTTGTAGCGCTCAGATCAAGGGAAGTATTTTTTAAAAATAAATCAAAACTATTTTGCCCACATTTGTCCAGAATACAGTTTTAGGGTTAAGAACTGTTTACTGAAAGATTGGTTGAGGAACCCAAAATCGCTGCAAACAACCTTTTGGGACCTTTATTTTTAAGAGCGATGCACAGACTTTCCCATTATCAAATCATTAAATCATCTTAAAATGATCCAGTGCATTGATGCAAATACTTGATTCCCAACCCTAGATGTGCATCCTTGAGTTTAGAGTAAAATAGTGATTTATGCAAGATGAGATATCTTAATTGGGGTGTTTCTCTCTCTTAATCTCTTAATCTGTCCTTCATTTTCTTTTGTTCTCTCTATCGGTCTCTAAATTTCTCTTCTTCTATCCTCTTGCGCTTTTTCTTTTGACCTTTTTGGTATCCTTTCTTTCCGCCTGGACCTCTATTTCTCTCTCAGGATGTGGAAAAGACACAGACAGAAATCATGCGCCATCACACGAGTATCAGCGAGCTCAAGCGAAGCTTCATGGAGTCGGTGCCCGAGCCGCGGCCCAGCGAGTGGGATAAGCGTCTGTCCACACACTCGCCCTTCCGCACGGCCAGCTTCAACGGCCAGCTGCAGCCCGACGTGAGTACTGGGGTTAAAGGTTATACACTTCATTGTTGGTTTTAGAGTCTTTGCTTGAAGATAAGATTGAAAAAGCCTGTGCTTGAACAAGATAGATTTGATTGTCATCCGTGGTAGTTTTATTGCATTTTCAGACTTGGTTGGGAAATTAATGTCCAAAATGCTTTTTCCACCTTCATATGCATTGTCTGCTATGACATTTTTGGGAGTCAGGTTATCAGCGAGCCAAACAATTGTGTTGAGTTAATGCAATGAGCACTTTTGAGGAAGAAAATGTTTTTCCAAACTTTGCCAGTTTAGTGACATCAGATCTTAGCGATTTTGCCTATTTTTGTGGACTACATTACCATTGTTTGCATTCTCTCAATATTCTTCATCTATTCTATCTTATCTACTTATGTTTTATATTCCCACTTAATGGCAAACTGTAGTTGGTCACCTTTATATTTCAGTCAGACTGTCCTGTGCAAAGTAAACCAGACTTTATGCCACTAGTCAAAATGATGCACTGAATAATGTGCTACATAAAGCAGAACACTTTGTTTTTATTGTGAGTATCCACAAAAAATAAAAAACACTTAACAGGATACACATATATATGTAAGATCAAAATCAATAGAGTAATTTGAGTCTCTTTTGCACTGATGTCCAAAAGGGAAATAGTCCGAAAGCATATATTAAACATCTCTATGTTTGCAGAAAAGTATAGTAGGATATAGTATCATGGATGAATAATTGATTTTAAATAGCGTGTGTCGTTCTTTATGGCATTTACCTTTGTTTATTAACTTCAGTGATTTGTTTTCGCCATTAAATACAAAGACTGCATACAGTATAAGCACAAAGAAGCACAGTACAAGCCCTGTTTGCACATTTTTCTTGTGTTAATGTCCGTGTTTATGACATGTATTTGGGGTAGATTTCTTGGTAACGCTTCCTTTTACAGTCCAGTTACCCATGTAAATACTATGTACTTATTTTAGTAACTACAATTACTGGGTAATAACTAGTACTAACCCCGAAACTACCCCTAAACCTACCCCTGTTCCATGTACTTACCTTATCCTAGCCATTACTTTCTAGGTAAGTACTAGAGCCAGACGATATATCGGCAGGCCGATATTATTGGCCGATATTAGGCATTTTCCAAACTATCGGTATCGGCAGTTATAATGGCCGATAAATGAGTATTTCAAAAATAAAATAAAAATGGACGAAACACGCTTGAACCATGTCACGAGTGTTGGAGTTGTATAATTTGTCCACCAGAGGGCGCTCTACACCGTTCCAGTTGGCAACACTCGTTGAGTTGGTCACAAGATATACATCACTTGAATAAAAATTAAAATAACATCCCCTTCAGTTCTCTTAACTCAAATAAGCATGACAAAATTTATGACTATCATGTCCAGTTTTGCTGCTGTTAAATAACGTAATAATTACGTTACGTTGTTACAGTGTAGTTGACGGACTGTCCTTTTAACTTTTGACAATGTGACTGAAGTATTTCTTTAATAGCGCGTGACAGTTACAGCAATGAGCAATCATCTCTCCATGGCCTGTTTATATTGAAAATATAGCTAAATTGCTAAACCATTACTAAATTATGGCTCATCATAGACAAGCTAACCACAAAGCTAGCTAATGCCACTATCATCAGTCTGTTCTGTTGTGACAATTTTCTTTTTAAAATGCATTATCATATTATTTTAGTTAAAACTCATAAATAACTTCAAATAACTAATGTTAGGGAAATATGTTAATGTTTTGTTGCACTTTTCTGAAATAAAAATAAAAAATATCGGCCGATATATCGTATTTTAAATATCGGCCTTCAAAATCCTTTATCGGTCGGGCTCTAGTAAGTACACAGTAAGTACTGTACTGTAAAAGGATACCGATTTCTTGTAGTTTCACTATTTTCTCAACTTCGACTGTTATATTTAGTGTTTCAACAACCTGACGCAAAAGCTTGTGCTTTCTGTTTTCTCGCATGATGTTGCATTTGAAGGAATTTATCCCAAAGTCATCAGGTACATCAGTGAGTGAGCCGATTTGTGTGACGGATAGAGTACCCGGTGACTGTGGTTAAGTAATCGCCGTTGTAAGGTTAATTATGGTGGTTGCAGTTAGACCTGTGCAAACTGAGGCTTTCAATGCTACATAAGGCCACATATGTTGGTCAGTGACACCTGAATAAGCATTTTATTTATAAACTCTCAGTGTGTGTGTGTGTGTGTGTGTGGGCATGTGTGCACAGGTGAAGATGCCTCCTCTCCTACCCATTGACTGTGTAGCGGGAGGTATATCAGAGGTAAACGTACTCTCATGACCGATGTTTCTTTATGTAGATAAAGAACAACACAAGCAGACGCATAAATGGCCGCTGGACGCTATCTATGGTCATGACCCAGTCAGAGTTGGAGAACTCCTCTCTGTCTCTCTGAATCTGCTGACTGCCCGCAGCTTTTATAGACCCCCTGACCACGCCCTCTGCCGAAGCCACGCCCCTTATACCATGCTGCTGCTATCTGAATGGCTACTGATGGCTTTCCTCTGCTTTGATCTGCCAATCGCATGGCTGGATTACACTGCATAAATAAGCTGCATGAGTCTGTTAGTTCACTGGCAACCAAAGTAGGTATAAAAGGAAATAGGAAGAGCAAAAAATAAGAAACTGATGCCTCATCCTCTTCATTTCCATTGTCTTTCCCCCCTTTTTTCCTCTTGTTGTCCTTCCCATTGTAAACTTTCCTCCATCTCTCCTCGCTAAGTCTTGTCCTGGATCACAGTCCTGTCCGCCTCCACTTTCATCCATAGCTCCATCTCCACCTCGATCCTCCTCCTCTCCAAAATCAGGAGTGTTTAGAAGCGACCAGAAGGGGGCACCTCTGCGCCCCTCGTCTGCTGAGGCGTATTACATCATGTACCAGTCTCAGACCTGAACACAATACACTGCCACGTGACGCACTCCTCCACAATTTCTCTCAAATTCTCTTCTACTTAAGTTGTTATTAAATTCATTTTAATAAAACTATTCTAAACTTTTTCTAAAGCACTTGTCTAATATTGATCATCTCTGTGTTTAAGCACTAGAGATGGGAATTGTATTGTATGTAACTGATTTCTTAATCATTCAATATAGGATTCCTTTAAAAATTGTATGGAATCATTCCCCCTTAAATATATATTAAACAAAAATATGAAACGCTTTATTAGGGTTTATTACTAATAAAACACAGCCACGTCTCGGTTAATTTCAAGATTTAGATGACAGAAGAATTGACTTATACTTTCAGTGAGTAAGTCACTGAACTGTTCTGCGATGCATTTCCCAAAAATATCGTTAGCCAACTATGGTCGCGCATTTCCGTCGTTACGAACATAGTTCAATGATTTAGCATTTCCTAAAAAAGTTTCAACAAACTAGAGCCAGGCCGATATTATCGGCCGATATTAGACATTTTGTAAAATACCGATATCGGCAGTTATAATGGCCGATAGATGAATATTTAAAAAATAAAATAAAAACGGACGAAAACACGCTTGAACCATGTCACGAGTGTTGCAGTTGTATAGTTTGTCCACCAGAGGGCACTCTACACCGTCCCTGTTGGCAACACTCGTTGAGTTGGTCAGGAGACATACGTCTGTTCTGTTGTGACAATAAAAGAAACAAGTTTCTTTTTAAAATGCATTATCATATTATTTTAGTTAAAACTCATAAATAACTACAAATAACTAATGTTAGGGAAATCTGTTAATGTTTTGTTGCGCGTTTCTGAAAAAAAAAATATCGACCGTAATATCGGAATATCGGATTTTAAAAACAAAAAATATTTTTATCGGTATCGGCCTTCAAAATCATTTATCGGTCGGGCTCTACAACAAACATTTACAAATCTGTGGTCAGAAGCATAGTTTCTTGTTAGTATGACTTTATATCTCTTGAGTGAAAAAAGCAAGCTAATTCAGTGCAATCTATATCTTTCATTACATATACAAATTTCATTCTATTTCATTTAGTTTGTCAAGTGTGCTCTAGTATCACGTGTGTTTTATCTTGTTCGATTCAGATCACAAACTCTCAGCTAAAACTGTTTCTTTGGCTGTAGTACTGCAGATTCAGTGGCACACAAAACACTGTTTAGTATCTAAAAGTATTAGTTAATTAACTGTCAACAGAAATAAACATTCATTAAAAATGGAACCGGTTCTGAATAAGAACCAGTTCTTGATTCCCAACCTTAGTTAGTAATGAATGCGGATCTTTGCGGAAATAGTAAACTCTGATCTAGCCAATGACAGAGTGTAGTTCTGTGACTGATCTGATCCTCTGAGGATCTCACTTTAGCGGTCGAACCCACCCAAACCCTGCATGTTTTTATGGTGTTTTCCTGTAAGTGATGGATATTTGCACTGCCAAAATATTGTCTGCTTCCAATCAGATTCCCACCATGCCACAAACACCATAAAAACCCTCAAGGCCTTTGCTTCAATCCATCTGGCCCGCTTAAAACGCTCCGGTCAGATGGCGAGCCTGGACCCATCAAACCTACCCAGAAATCAGTATTACCTCCATCAGTCTCTCCCCATGTCTCTCCCCATTCTGTTCATTGTTGTGTCTCTCTTGGTGTCCTGTTGCCCTGCGCAGAGATGGAAGTGTGCAGCGGGCACGAGGTGGAAGCAACAGCAGGTAAGGGCCATGCCAGGAGGGCTGCCACTACTGCAGCATATGGAGGAGGATGATGAAGATGATGATGATGACCATAATGAAGAAAAAGACATTGAGGCTCGGGGACATGCCGTCCACGTCTCCATAGCCGTGTCAGCAATGGAAGAGAGCCGTGCTGGCCTGTACCCAGAGGCACTGCATCGCCCTCCAGTCTCCTTCTTGTTGAGCAGCCTTCTGGTCTTGACTCTGATGCTGTGCTGGCTTGTCTTCATTTGAGAGAAAGTAGAAGAAATGAAATAGATATCAGGGAGGCAGCAGAGCTGAGCTTTTCTGGATTATGAGACGATAAGGAGGGCAAGAGGACAAGCTCCTTCCTCTTGGATTCTTAATGATTTCTCCACTTCATCATGGATGCTGATTGACAGCTTATAATTTTAAACTATTTACGTGCTGTGACACAAGAGCACTATGTTTTCTTAACATGGTGTAAATATTCACTTAATATTTTTCTGGCTTTTCAGATTAGCTTAAGTTAGTTTTGAACTCACTGCTTAAAATAACCATTCAATTTCAGTCAAATTATTTTTAATTATTTTTTTGTTAATTTGCAAGGTGAGTATGAATTGTACGGAGGCGTATTGCATTCACTTGAAGAAAAAAAATCGACTCTGTTTTTCTGAATTAACGAGTTAATTTTTCATGAGAAAAAAAAAATTTGCTCTGTTTTTCTGAATTAATGAGTTAATTTTTCGTGAGAAAAAAGTTTTTGCTCTGTTTTTCTGAATTAATGAGTTAATTTTTCGTGAGAAAAAAAGTTTTTGCTCTGTTTTCAGAAACACAGAGCAAAAAAAAAAATTCCATGAAAAAATTAACTCGTTAATTCCGAAAAACAGAGCAAAAAAATCCATGAAAAATTAACTCATTAATTCAGAAAAACAGAGCAAAAAAAAATTCCATGAAAAATTAACTCGTTAATTCAGATAAACAGAGCAAAAACTTTTTTTCTCGTGAAAAATTAACTCATTAATTCAGAAAAACAGAGCAATTTTTTTCTCATGAAAAATTAACTCATTAATTCAGAAAAAGAGAGCAAAAAAAAATTCCATGAAAAAATTAACTTGTTAATTCAGAAAAACAGAGCAAAAAAAATCCATGAAAAAATTAACTCGTTAATTCAGAAAAACAGAGCAAAATATTTTTTTTCTCATGAAAAATTAACTAATTAATTCAGAAAAACAGAGCAAAAAAAATAAAAAAATCCATGAAAAATTAACTCGTTAATTCAGAAAAACAGAGCAAAAAAAATTCCATGAAAAATTAACTCGTTAATTCAGATAAATAGAGCAAAAACTTTTTTTCTCATGAAAAATTAACTCATTAATTCAGAAAAACAGAGCAATTTTTTTCTCTCATGAAAAATTAACTCGTTAATTCAGAAAAACAGAGTAGATTTTTTTCTTCAAGTGAATGCAATACGCCTCCGTAGAATTGAAACGAGACTGTTCTTATTCTTATTTTTTTTCTTAATTTCTGCAATTAATCATCTTAAAACATTTACCAAACTTTGTTTTGAAGATAATCTCAGTGTTTTAAAATGTCCCATTGACCTTCCTAAACTATCGTTTGAAAATGTTGTTTTCCAGTTAAAGTTTAACTGATAGTGTTGATGTCATCATAGTATTTGCATATTACGTTGTGAACGGTCTTTTTTATGCATTTATTTGCACAATGATTTTGTTTGGTCTTACAATTATGCACAACAGAATCCTAAAAGCTAAACTTTTCCAGCATTTTCTTTTACTGCCTCGCAAACACGGCTAATTTCTTCAGTGAATGCAGATTGTTTTATTGTTGTCGTTGCTTCTTTTGATGTAGTTTTCTTTACCGTGTGACACACTTTGCTTCTCTTTGCAGATATAAATCTCTTCTCCATTGCCAGCCAATGCATAATGAAGAGACAATTTCAAAACTAGTCTACTTCTTTGTGAATTTATGTTTTATCAGCCCTTAGTAGTAGTGTGTCAGGGCTTTAATTACACACACCTTGAATATTATAATGTTTCTCCTTCCCTCGAACTCCCGTATGCATTAAAAAAAAAAAATCAGAACTAGTGTCATGCTAGCTTTAATATTTAAGTTGCCGAATTTTTTTTTTTCATTTAAATATTAAATATTTATTTCCAAAAACAAACAAACCTTTGCACTTCCATAGACTTTAGTCAGAGTAAAGTATATTTAATTTGACATTTCAGATTACTGGTTCCAGTAACGTGTCTAGATAGCATAACACTGTGATAACAGCCTGAAAATTATATTCAGCACATATTTGGTGTGTTGACCTGATTTGCATAATTTATTTTGTGTGTCAGGTGTAAATAAATGGCAGTGGCAATAGGTACAAATTATTTTCATTCAGTTTGATTTTCTTAGGCCTTGTTTTATTTAGTTTCATATTTCATATCCTCATTTTCAGTTGCTTCAAATTACATGACGTCTGCTTTGATTAAGGTCCATTCCATGATAAAGATAATCCATGCTAAAATAAAAAATAACTTTTCTATTTTTTATTTATTTATTTATTTAATTTCAGATTGAGAACATTCTTTGGGGCTCTTGTGAGCCCCTAAATTTGTTCACAGTGTTCGTTTCCCGTCTTTATCTGCCGTTATTGGATGAAACCAGCATTTGACTTACAATGTGCCAAAAGTTTCTAAATCAAAAGCTTTTTTGGCAGAGTGCCTATAGATAAAATATTTAATAAGCAAAACTTTCTAAACCATAATTTGTGATGGTTTAGAAATACATAATCTGCATATCTGAGCTGAGAATTGTGGGTAATAGGGAGTGGTGGGCTGCTAGATGGCTTCATTCAGGTTGTGTCAGTCAATAGTTCTGGATTACCCTGAGGAGTGTTTGGGAAGCTGTCTGATTTTGCTGTCCAGGGGGACGCCTTTCTGTGCAGCATAATTTCATTCCCACTGAGAAAATTTCCATCGTCAAATTAGGTTAATATACTTATTTTATACCATCTTTTTGTGGCTAAACATCCAAAAGGTGCTGCAAATTGTGTTCCTGAAGTACTTAACTGCTAAATCAAGTGCCTAAACGGTCAAATCCATGAAAAAACCTGTTCATATTTTGAAACCGATTCATTCGGTTCAACACAAGCTCTCTGACCATTTCAGATTACTGGCTTGTTACAATAATTGGTTACGTTGCTCAACCTTTAAAAAAAAAAAACGTCCCGGGAGTAGACTTAAATGGAATATTGAAATTGTATTTATATTCGATAATTTAATTTTATTAGAATTCGAAAGGATATTTTAATTATAGTCGATATATTGGATTACTTGGGCAGCACCAATCGTAACGTATTTCTCTGTAGTAGAGCCCGACCGATACAAATATTTTTGGGTTTTAAAATTTCGATGTTCCGATATATCGGCCGATTTTTTTTTTTTATTAAATATTGTTGGATTTCACACACGTGTAAAATAAAAGCTAACTTTTCTGCACAAGATACGTTTGATACTTTTTCTCTCTGTCTAAATGTTCACTCCTCGCAAGTATAACTTACATTTTACAATGCAGGGACTGTAACTAGAGATATGCGAGTTATAAATACAGTAATCATTACTTTATTTACGCAGAAAAAGCATTGTGGTTTCCAAGCTCATTAATGTTAACGTTAACGGTCTTCCACTGATGATAGTGGCATTAGCTAGCTTTGTGGTTAGCTGAGCCATAATTTAGCAATAGATAACATCATACTGCAAATTGTAAAACATACATTTTCAATATAACAGGCCAAGGAGAGATGATTAAAGCGTGTTTCGTCCGTTTTTATTTTATTTTTTTAAATATTAATTTATAGGCCATTATAACTGCCGATACCGATATTATGGAAAATGCCTAATATCGGGCGATAATATCGGTCTGGCTCTACTCTGTAGTATTAGCTCAGTTTGGTGGCAATTTTACTTCCATTTAAGAAATACAATCAGTGTCATATTGAAAGTTTATCACTCTACTTAAGATTGGAAAGGTTGATAAGGTAACTATGAAATATGTATGACTAAATTTTCTAGTTTTCAACAATTCAAAGTTGCATTTTTGTCTCGTTTATTAGCTTTTTTTATATGGTCAGCAGCACAGAATATCGATCTTACAGTATGATGAGTTGACGAACGGTTCCAGATGGTGTTCGGTAATGGAGGTGAAGTTAATGTAGTGAGAAAAGCAATTCTCTACTCACTCTATACTGTGTCTTGACCCCTTTCACAGTCTCCCGTGGTGAAGACAAAAACGATTACCATTTCTGATGTCACCAACTCCCTTCGCAGTGAAATCACCACCAAGGACATCCCGATAGTCCACACCGAGACCAAGACCATCACCTATGAGTCTGCACAGGTGAGGGGACGCCATTTCTGAATCAGATTGCTGTGTTGTTGTCATCATTTTTGCTTGTAAAACCAAATTATTAAATTAATTCATGTATAATAGTCATGGTCATAATAGCTATAGGCAAATATATATATATTGTTATAATAAAAACTACTTTTTTTTTGTTTTACACATCATTTCTATATAACAATACATTTCTGATTATTTTAGCTGGAAGCATTTGTCTTATATGAAGAAAGAAGATATTTTCTTATATGCTTTTGAAACTTTGCATTCGCTCGCAATACTTGGGTATACTCTCGTAACACTTTTGCATTCTCGCGCAAAACATATTTTCTTTTGTCAAATCAACTTTATAATAATTTATTTAGTTGAGATAACTTATTATTTTGAGTTTCTGATGGTTAAATTAATCTCCTTCATTGTATTAACTCACTTTTTCCAGTTCAATCAACTTAAAATTTTAAGGCAACCAGGTTACTTACTTTTTTAAGTTAAACCAACAATATTTTTTTACAGTAATCACAACATTTTTTCTTTAATCAAATCAACTTTAATAATTTATTTAGTTCAGATAACATATAATTTTGAGTTTCTGATGGTTAAATTAATCTCCTTCATTGTATTAACTCACTTTTTCCAGTTCAATCAACTTAAAATTTTAAGGCAACCAGGTTACTTACTTTTTTAAGTTAAACCAACAATATTTTTTTACAGTAATCACAACATTTTTTCTTTAATCAAATCAACTTTAATAATTTATTTAGTTCAGATAACATATAATTTTGAGTTTCTGATGGTTAAATTAATCTCCTTCATTGTATTAACTCACTTTTTCCAGTTCAATCAACTTAAAATTTTAAGGCAACCAGGTTACTTACTTTTTTAAGTTAAACAACAATATTTTTTTACAGTGTAGCACACCCAAAGTTTCTCGAGGAAATCCAAAACTTTTGCTACAGAACACAAAAGTTTTGCAAGTTTCCATTGAAATATAATTTTCCCTCCCATCTCATGTATTTCCCATCCTCATGTCCCCAACGGGGCTCCATAGTTTTAGGGAATAGCTGTGTGAATAAACAATAAAAGAGGAGTATTCTTATCTTTCACATGTGTGTTTGTTTGCTAACAGCCTAACGCACTGTCAGAGAAGGAGTCCGGGATGCTGTTGAGTGCTCAGACCATCACCTCAGAGACTGTGAGCACCACCACCACAACCCAGATCACCAAGGTACCCGTTTTCACATCAAATGATGCCTAAACTTGCAATTTACTAGAAAGTTCTGCATCATCTGCTGCTTAACCCTCAGGTGCTCTTCAATTCGGAGTCACACTTGTTATCCTCCTGGTCAAAAGTGACCGGACACCTAAAAATTAAATTTCCTCCATCCCAGTAAAACCAATGCAATTTATTTTTGTTCTATAATATTTATTCTTTGTAATTTAGTATTTTGAGACAATTTGATTGAATTTATTAATATTTATGCAATATTTATGGTCTATTTTGCCATTAAAAAATATATATATTTTTCTATATATATATTATTTTTTTTCAAAAAATTATTAATGCAGTATTTTAGTTTAATATAGACTCTAGGGCTTCAGAAAAAAAAATATATTTTTTGAAGAAAATTAGCAGCATCTGGTTACAGTATAGAGAAAAAGCGTAGAATCATGGTGTAACCACTAGATGGCATGTACAGCTCTCTATGGAGAAGCATGTGAATTCCCCAGCTGTTTATGAACACATTTTTTATTTTTTTTTGGTGGATTTGAATATATAGTTGAAACAATCTCAAAAACGATTTTTTTTATTTTAAAAAAAATGTAATAATTTAAATAAAAAATTGTGAATTTTTGTGTTTTTGTCAATTTCCCATTCATTTCCTATGGGGGTCATTTTTGACCAAAGACCACAAGTGTGACTATTTTTTTTTTACAACCACTTAGCATGCTCAGATCATGACCTCAATTTTTTTGTGTGTGTTTACATACATAATGCCATAAAAGTCACCAAGTTTCGTAACATTTCGATGAAGCTGTGATTTTTAAAAATTCAAAACATACTTTTTGTAATCAAAATGTATTGGTGTGTATGTGTATAAAAGTGTGTTTGTATGTGTGTGGGTGGGTGTGTCTGTTTTGCACTCTAGATGTTGTAGAGTGTCACCCCTTTCCTGCGGTGTACTTTTTTATAGAATTGTGGCCGATTTGTAGATTGCACGTACAAAAATTCAGAGAATTTATTTCTTTTTTGTCAATTTCCCATTCGTTTCCTATGTGGGTCATTTTTGACCAAAGTTTTAAAATTTTTTAAGACCACTTAGCATGCTCGGATCATGACCTCAATTTTCTTTATATTCACATACATAATGCCATAAAAGTCACCAAGTTTCATAACCTTCCGATGAAGCTGTGATTTTTAAAAATTCAAAATTCGAAAAAAAAAATTCGGTCAGAAATGACCGAAGAGCACCTGAGGGTTAAAAAACGAATCGCAGTGAAATGATCTCATTTAAACACAACATAAAACTCATTTAAATTATTAAAATGACAAGATTGCAAGAAAATCCAAGTTACAAGTGATTTGCATATACTGCATAGTACCAAGTTAGGTCATTGTTCAAATGGCTGCACACATGAGATAAAGCCATTGTTAATTACAATTTCTATCACCATTTCACAGTAGCTTTCCATCTTGCAAGTTAGTGAAAAACAGCCGTAGTGCACAGATGCAGATATATTCTCTTCACTGTGTTTCTGGCTCTCTCATTCTCTCGTTCTCTTCCCTTTCTCTGCTCAGACGGTGAAAGGCGGGATCTCAGAGACCCGTATTGAGAAGAGAATCGTGATCACTGGAGACACTGAGATTGACCATGATAAGGTGAAATCGACATGCAGTTAAAATTAAAAACCATGTCGGGTGCAAAATATTTTAAAAGACATTCTCGTTCTAGAGAGCTTTTTCATCGGGCGAAAATTTGTAGACGTCCCTAAGAAGGAGATGATGTCATCAATATTTTTTCCTGAAAAAAATCATAAAATCATGCATCTATCAGTTTTGATGGTTCTGATAACCTCAATGCTAACATGCATCACAAAAATGCTCAATTCCTCCATGTTTTAGCCTTGCAGTTTGGTTTAATGACTGCTCTCTCTGGTCAGCAGGCTCTTGCTCAGGCTATAAAGGAAGCAAAGGAGCAGCACCCTGACATGTCCGTCACTAAAGTGGTGGTTCATCAGGAAACAGAGATCACCCCCGAGTAACTCCTGTTGGAGACATAGGTTAGTAATTAGAAGCAACCTTAGTCGAATGATTACAGCAATAATATTATATGCATTTAATTTACTTTTGCAAATTAAATGCATATCAGTTTTATTCAGGTCTGATCTAGGAAGCTAAAAATAATGAAATGAGCAGAGAGCTGGAAGTTAAAGGAGGAAAACATAAAAAGATTACGTATGATTTAACAGCACGGGCTGTTATACTGGTACCATTCAGGATTTTAAATTCCAGTTCAGCTCCAGAATTTCAATTCAGGCAGCATGATGCAGAATTTGATTAGATTATATTAATATTAGAATTTATGGAATATTAAATGGTACATAATATTAATTAGATGACATTCAGTTATTTATGCAACCTATAGACATTTAATGCATTATTTATTTTATGGACTATGATGACAATGAAAACAATGTTGTTTTAGTATTATTTCTGTTTAAGCTTTTATTTTATTATTATTTTTTTTTTTTTTTTCATTTAAATTTTACTTACATTTTAGTCATTCGTGTGCTGTGGTCATTTTTATCAGGATATTTTTTTATATTTATATTATATTTTTATTTTATATTTATATATTTTTTATATTTATTTATTTAGCTTTAATCTATATTTGTTTTAGTTTTAAGTTTTTACCTATTTATTTTAGGGCTGTGCAAAAATTAATTGCGATTAATCGCATCCAAAATAAAAGTCTGTGTTTACATAATATATTTGTGTGTGCTGTATATAATTATTTTGTATATATAAATACCTATGCATGCATGTATATATTTAAGAATTATTTGCACTTAAATTCTGTATACATATATAAATAGATAATCTATATTATATAAATATAAATATTTTATATATGAATAACACATTTTCTTAAATATATACATGCATGTGTGTGTATTTATATATCCAAAATAATTATATACAGCACACACAAATATATTATGTAAACACAGACTTTTATTTTGGATGCGATTAATCGCAATTAATTTTTGCACAGCCCTAATTTATTTTATTTCAGCTTTTTTTGTTTAGTTTTAGTAAAAAATTAGTTTCATAGACTCCAAAAATGTAACCCAATGGCTGGGTTTGTCAATATTTGACCCAAAATTAGGTTAAAACAACCCAGCATTATTTTTTAGAGTCTAGTTCAATCCTTTTTAGTCCGTAGTTTTGAGACATACAGTATGTGTAATGAAAAACTAGTCCTCTCAGAGTTGGGTCTGTTTGTGTGAGGTATTGGGCATCTGGTGCTGTCAGGGTGGTATGTATACAGTCACAGGATAATGGTTAATTTGTTCCCACAGTGCCCTGTTTTGTGCATGCAGAAAGTGCTTCATTGAAGTCCCAGTTTTCCTCACTGACTCCGTGACCCATTTGTGATGTGTTTACTTTCTGCTGGACCAGAAATGTTATTTTCTGGCATGATTGCTGATCACTCTTTGATCTCACGTCAACACAGGGTGAAAAAAAACGGGAGCAGTCAGGTTTATGAATGTGAAAAAAACAACGCAAGAGCCCTCACATCAAGCCCCTCCCCATCAACGAGTCCCCGCCCCCCACGGAAAACACTTCCTGTAACAGCACCTAACCCTGAACATCTGTCAGATCTCAAGCGTCTTGTACTGCAAAACTGAGCATCTACAACTACTCAGAATTCAAAGCAAAGATTCATCCAATTCCCAACATCTTGGACAGATTTCCCCCCCAAAAAAATGCCGGATCGGATCTCCACCTCGTTCAACACATTCCATGATGGACTGAACCATGTTACAAAATACTTTTGTAAAACAGTGAGTGCAAAAGAGCATCTTTTTATCTGTAATTCATAAAATATTTTTAGGGTGGATTCCAAAGGGACGGTTTACATAATAACAACTGGGCGGTGGGAATTTTCTAAAGCGTCAATTTGTATTTTTTGATTTAACTTAATTTAATTATTTGATTGGTCGATTGTACATCTAATTATGTTGTTACAGAGGGCGAAGGAGCGTCTGTTATAAATGTGAAACACTTGTTAAAGGGGAAGTTCACCCAAAAAAATACCTATTTTATTTATTTTTTAAACATTTTTAACTCTTTTCAACACAAAACAAGACATTTTGCAGAATATTCATGCTGCTCTTTGCCAAGTCTCAATGTTATTCCAACAACTCTTTCTCATACTGTTCTTTCAAAAGAAGATATTTTGAGAATGTAAGATGATAGTCACCAGAACTGTTTGATCGCCAAACTTTTTTTTGCAATCCATCGGAGAAAAAGTCATAGAGGTTTGGGATGGGTAAATGATGACAGAAACCATGCCTTTAATTTGTTTCCCCTTCTCTGTTGATCTCTAATTTCATTTTCGTTCACATACATTCAAATGGAAAAGGGTTTAACATCATTCGTTGAATTGAAACTATCACATCCGTTTGAACTTGTAAATAAGATTTTGAGGACTGCAGAGGAGGCCGGGGAATGGTTAAATTTCACTTCAATTCCTCACAATTCCTTTTATGATGCCCGATTCACTTCCACTGAATGGGAAAGAGCAGCATGAACATTCTGCTAAACTTCTGAATTTCGGAGAAGAAAGAAAGTCACACAGGTTTGGAAAAACATTATGACAGAATTTTCATTTTTGGGTAAACTTTTCTTGTTGTTAAAGTCCCATATTGTGTGTTCCTCTTAAATGTGAAGGTATTATTTTGTTCTTGGTGTAAAAATAATGTGTTGATTTTATTCAGAACGCTGGAGCAAATTCAGACGTTTTCTTGTGTTTAAAAGTTACGTTACTTTGCATATTTGTTAAGGCTTGTGTACATTTTCTTTTGTTTCATTGGTCATTTCATCATGGATTTGGGGTCTAATGAAGATGGGATAGTGAAACTACATTCCATGATATTTCTATTTATTTTCATCAGTTTTGTTTTCTTGTTTGTGTGTGTATGCCCTGCTCTCTTAAATGCAGCTTTGATGTTTTTTTTTTTTTTGTATTAGATTGAGAATCCCAAACACCAGCTCCTGCCAGTTTTAAAATGGGATTTGCAGGGATAACTCTTATTCATTTTCATTATATTTCTACTTTTCTACTAGAGGGGGCAGTATGTTCTTACCCACGAGTCTATAGCAGATCTGCAAAGTCTTTAAAATGAGCATCCACACACACAACGTGTAGTGGTTTTTAGATGAATTGGACTTGATAAGTCGGTTTGCAATTATGGTTAGTAAATGTGCCAAACGTGAATCTGAAAGCGAGCGAATTAAAATGTGTTTCTGTCATGCATTGAGACATTCGGTTGTAAAGACTGACAATTCTGGTGCAGTAATTCAATTCTAGAAAAGCAAAGTGGGAATTTTGGTGAATTTAAGGGCTCCTGTGGTAAAGCGTACTGCCCCGCGTCGAGCTGACCAGTCCAGTATGTCCAGTTTTTAAATGTCTATTTTCAAACGTTACACTTTTATAATAGTTGAAATACAGTAGTATCCTGTACAGAGACCAAGGTGTTGTAGTTTGTTCGTTGTGTTGTTTTCTTCATTGTGGCACTCCTTTCCTATGCTAGTCTGGCGTGAAGAAAAGAAAAGAATCATACGTTTGTCCTTTTCTTTTCATCGCACATTTGTTTTTTTGTTTGTTTTTTGCCATCACTGAAAAAAAGACAATGTACAATATAGCACCATGGACTAAATAAACTCCCATAGACACAGTCTTCACTTGGTTTCATGAGTTTTTGTTCTTTACTGTCTCCTTGTGTGTTTCTCAATACATGTCCAGGTCTGCTTATCAGTGCTGATCTTTCATTAAAATAAAACTACTTCCTTTTCACTTGACATCAGTCTCATCAGCATCCAACCAACACTCATTTAATCCAGTCTATGGATAAAAAGTCCTGCACAACTTCTTCCCCTTTAAAACCAACAAATATTTATATCGGTATCGGCCTTCAAAATCTACTAGCCTACGATTGTCTACTAGCCCCGATCCCATCTTGTTACCTGATTATTGATTCATTTGCATCACATCAAGTCAAGTCATTCCTCTTGGGGTAGTTTTTGTTGTCTTATTTATTTTATTATCATTTAATTAAGACCCGCATCAACTCTGCACTTGAGTCTGTGCTTCTTTCACCACCACAGAAACATGCATTTTAGAGCTAATCTGAAGAGCAAAACCCCACATTTACCAAATCGGACAGCACAACATTTTGATTTTCTCTTTCCAAAGTTACTGGAGCCAGAGCCTCAATTTCAAATCTTTTTTAGGATGGACTGAATGTGTTTATTCCCTTTTAATTTCAGGCACACCAAGTTTCTGCTGAACCTTTTTAAATGGGAACCTTCTTCTTTCCTCTGCCCAGATCTTGGTCACTTTAATGCTAAATGATGCAACTCTAATTCCTTCAGAGCGTGGTTGAACTTTATGGGTTTGACTGACAAAAAGAGGAACATGTCAGAAGTGAAGTGCATTATCTAAGTGTTGCAGCTAGCTAGATGTGAAATCATCCAGAACATTGCACATTATGTGCTATTGTCGATATGTTGTTAGATGTGTTTTAGTAATACACTGTAATCATGAAAATATTTTCTTTTGTCAAATCAACTTAAATTATTTGACTATAAGTCAAACCACGAACGTCGTGCTGAGTGATCTGAACTGTATGAACGGCGTTCGGGGATCGACTTATCGAGACTTATTTTTCCAAGATGGCTCCTGTCTGTATACACGAAGTGAACTGTCTTCATAAAGTATCTTCTTATTAAACGGTCTGTACACTTACAAAGTTCTCAATGCTTCGTTTTGCATGTACGGAGCCTCATTATGTTTCTGTGTTAGTGGGGGGCTATTTTGAGGCTTGTTAGTGGTATAAACTAGCGATTTCTTTTCACTTAGTCAATGCCCTCATTAGTAGAATTATACGCTAAACAGTTTTTAGAGATAAAACTCTTTACATTCAATTATCATGAAAACAAATCTCAGAGAACGAGTGACTAGGTGTCGATGTTTTATTAGACCAAAGGTTCATTGTTCGCCGGAGTTCTCCTTTAAGGCAACCATGTTACTTATACTTTTTTAAGTGAACTGAAAACAACTATAGTTTTTTAAGTGAGATCCTCCACGCACCTTGAGAGAAATGTTTACATTTCCTGCTAATTCATTTGATAAAATGACAAATGTAAAAGTCTACTAAATCAAACACAGAATATGCTGAAATTGGGTAAACTATAGCTTGCCATATGCTGGAAAAGGACACAAGACTTTTATGGATAAGGACCAGAGAGAGACGATACTGATCCTCTGCTTCCCATCAAACTCTCTGAAGAAGACTCAGAAAACAGAACCTGATGGGTTTAAGGAAAACAGTTCAGTAGTAGAGTAGTTACTGAGTGCACATAAATTCAATTTTTAAAGTATTCATAAATGTGTCTTAGCGATTGTAAAAAAAAAGTGAGGTCCGTCCGCTAGAGGTCGCCATAATCTTATAAAATCTGATCAGAAGTACAGCGATTGATCATGCTCGTGCACCTTTTTTTTTTTTTAATTTTTACAGAGGGTAAACATTATTTCATAATAATTTAAAGGTCACCAGACCTGAAGACACAAGATTAAGTAAATGACACCATAATAGTATGAAATTGCATTAAAACCAAACCACCTACAAAATCAGAATGATTATGAATTATTGCGCTCTAAAAAATGCTTGGTTGTTTTAATCCAAATATGGGTAAAAATACGGACATCATACTAGTCATTACATTTTTAAATTACATTTTTAACCCAATTGCTGGTTGTTGCTTCCATACACTGCAAGCTTCTTTTACCAAAACAACCCAGCATTTTTTAGAGTGTGCCAAGTACACTGAAAAAAATAATATGCTTTATCCAATCAATAAAATTGTGGCAACATATTACAAGCAATATTATTAATTAAATTGTACAAATTAGAATGTTAATTTGATTAACTATTACTGAATTCTAATTTGTTCAATTTAATAAATAATATTGCTTGTAATCTGTTGCCACAATTTTATTGATTAGATAAAGCATATTTATTTTTACAGTGTACACTCAATTAATTTGTCTTGGTAATAGAAGCTTGCAGTGTATTGAAGCAACAACAAGCACAAGAAGAGTACCCACGACGAGTGTGTGTGTGCATTACTACAATCCAGTTAAATGAAAAGTAAAAAATGTAATATTTGCCTTGTAATACTTTACAATTATCATACACCAACTATAAACTGCCAAAGCCTGCATGGTTAAATTGATTCTGTGTAGGAATGAGCTCTCATTACACTGATAATGTGCTGACGTTTTCTTCATCCACTTCTCAAGAGACTTCACTGATGTCTATGGTTGTTTCTCACTGAAGGAATGTCATTATAATATATCACAGCGCTCATTACAGACATCAGTGTGAAACAGCCAGCAGGGAGACTAAATTAACCTCTGTTACATATGGTGGAGATGTCATACTTCTGGAGCTGAAGCTTATTATTTTAAGCCATAGAAATATGGATGTCCCCCTTGAGATATCTGTGTGTCGCCCACTAAGGAGCAAATGCTATGTAGCAAATCACTCAAAGCAAAGGACAGCAGAGGCTCCAGGGACTCGTTGTGTCCAAACACAATGATCCTATCAACAAAAATACTACAAACCTATCAATATGGGCCAACATTTCTAAAGTAAACACACTATTAGTATATGCAAATTAACGTTGTAAATAAAAATGATCTCGCAAAACTTTTTTTTTTCATTATTAATGTTAAATATAATAATAATAATAGTAATGACTAAATGCAAAACACAAAATCTCATTCTAATTATAATACAGAAAAATCATTAAATTATTATCCTATTTTTTTTATTGTTACACTCTAGTATTTTTATTTTGCATGATACAGTAATAAAAATCGTTTAAGAATCAAATTAATAATTCATTCATTAATTTTACTTTTGTATTTGTTGCATTATACATAAAAACTATTTTAAGAATCGAATTGCAATTTCATTCATTCATTTATTTTACATTATTACATTTATTTTGCATGGTAGGCCTACTTAGGATCTTTTAAGACAAATTAATTAATTCATTAAGTCATTAATTTACCTTTAGTAATTTTATTTTGGATTATGAAGTAATAAGAATCTTGAATAATGGGAATTACAAATTCTATAGGTCTAAAATGTGACCAGGACATGGTTTTTGTGACATTCAACCACTGCAGGAGGTGGAAAGGTGGAATTTTTAAGCAAAGGCAAATATTTGGAGATCATTGCAATTGCAAAGGGAAAAATTGTCATTTTGTAAGTGGATTTTATGAAGCGGATGTGTGACACTACACCTGCATCTTCTAGCCTAATTGGGTGGGACGTGGGCAGAAATTGAAGTGGCATTTTGCAAGAGAACTCCCTTAGCTCGGCCATAATGAGCCTACAGTATCTGTGTCACCATGCCTTCATTTATCATTGTACGCTGGCTTTTGCTGAGTAGTTTGTTTTTGCCATGAGCACCATATATCACCTGTCAGGTCTAATGGGGGCCAGTGAGGAGGACATATGGCTGCAGAGCCTCTCTCCTCCTCGAGCCTGATCCTCTTACAATCCATATACAGCACTGAGGGAAAGCTTGAGGTTAATTGATCTATAACTTACAAAAGGATCAGATACTGCAAACGCTAAAGTTTAAGTGGGCTATATTGAATTACATTGTTTAAATATTCATGACATGTATATTCCAGTAAGTAATCAAACATTTTCCACAATTGAGCCTCTCTCATCATCATATCTTTATTAAAGTGAATTCATAACAAGACAACAGAATTAGTGTGTTTTTTTTTATTATTATTATGGAAGATTCATTCACAAAATGAAGTGCAAACAAGCCAACTCTGATACAACAAAGATGATTGGTTTATTAAATAGAAACTCAATATTGTATTATCTGATCCACAATTATTATCTAATTATGTTTTTTTTTACAGTTTACCCACTGTAAAAAATATTGTTGGTTTAACTTAAAAAAGTAAGTAACCTGGTTGCCTTAAAATTTTAAGTTAATTGAACTGGAAAAAGTGAGTTAATACAATGAAGGAGATTAATTTAAGCACCAGAAACTCAAAATTATATGTTATCTGAACTAAATAAATTATTATAAAGTTGATTTGACAAAAGAAAAAATGTTGTGATTACTACACTGTAAAAAAATATTGTTGGTTTAACTTAAAAAAGTAAGTAACATGGGTTGCCTTAAAATTTTAAGTTGATTGAACTGGAAAAAGTGAGTTAATACAATGAAGTAGATTAATTTAACCATCAGAAACTCAAAATAATACGTTATCTCAACTAAATAAATTATTAAAGTTGATTTGACAAAAGAAAATATGTCTTGAAAATATTTTTTACAGTGTATATAAATAAGAAAGCAATTAAAAATTGTATATTTTTACTTATAGATCATAATTTGCCAACAGTATTAATGCTTCATTATCTTCTAAATTTATCTTAAACTAAAGGCTAGGCTAGATGTCATGCCCACACTTTGTTAAATCACTTATTTTACTCATATATTTGTATATTCTTGTCAAATATACCCTCACATAGCCTAATGGTTAGTAGCCTACTAAGTTACTAGTGTGTGGTCTGCAGCCAGTCAGTGGCCGAGAGGACCCCGGAAACGCGCCTCGCGTGTCGGCAGCGCGCTGCAGCTTCCAGGAAGCGGAACGAATGAAGTTCATTTCTCACAGCTGGTGATGGCGGATGCTGTCGAATTAGAGACCATGAAGAATTATAACATAGCGTTTGAGAGGATAGACCCGAGCATAAGCCGCTATCCCTACTGTATTGTATGGACGCCAATCCCCGTGTTATCGTGAGTGATTTTCGCCTCCACTGTTGCTTTTGCTTCATGTGAATGTGTTGAAAGCGTTTCAGTCCCGTATAAAAGAGGTTTGTGTTTATAATGGATGCATTACAAATCAAACATTACACCAGCAAGCGTCATTGAGCAATTCCGCTGTGGACCGATCAGCTGCGTTCCGTCGCGTCGCGTCGCGTTGACAGCAGTCAAATCGTGTGTTGATAAACGTGAACTGAAACTGATTTGCCATTTAAACTAGTTTTCCTGTCAAGAAAAACCTGCGCGTGTGTAATTAAAATGTTGCTCCAATTCTTACCCGGAACACAACATTTAGATTGCAACACCGAGCACACGTTCTTGAAAGTCTTTATTAGAATGATCTCACTCTTTGAATCTGAAACAATTAAGAGTGGATGGAGACTGGAGCTGCTCCAAAAATGACAAAAAGTAGCTAGTCCATGCATATACAGCTCGTGCTTTATATTCTGAATATAGCCTTGTGTGAGAAACAGAAAGGACTTTTGATTGTTATTTACTAAATAGAATGTGTTTATGTAATAAAAGTATGGTCAAATATATAATTTTTAGCTAAATGAAAAAAGTTTATTAATCACAATTTTTGTTTTGTTAATCATAATATTCTGATGATGAAATATATCAATAATCAAATTAACAACTTCTATGAATATAGGGCTGTCAAACGATTAATCACGGTTTGCATAATATATGTGGGTGCACTGTGTATAATTATTATATATATATACACACACACACACACACACACTATTTTTTAGTTGCAAAGACAACATGTATGCTGAATATTTGATGCATTCCCTTACGAAATAGAATTATATTTCAAGTTCATTTTATGTAGTATACTTAAGTAATGTTCAAGTATATTTTTAAGTATACATTATGTAGTAAGTATACTAATGTCACTAGTAGTAAATTTGTAAGTGTACTATTTTAATACCGCTTGGGACTAAATTGGCCCACTTTTAGTACACAAAAGTATATGTTTAGGTGTACTATAAGTGTAACAGTAAGTGCACAACTAGTTCCTAATTATGTATCTCATGTGTACTGCAAGTGAATTTATGGGTATACTAGTAGTTTACTTTTTTACTGTAATACTTATACAAGCATACTTTGAATACTTAATTATACAAGCATACTTTGAATACTTAATTATACTTTTAAGTATTTCTGGATCAAAAGATTGAGTACAAGAACAGGACACTTGCTTTGATACTTGCTTTTCTCTCAGTATAAGTCAAGTACACTTAAGTGTAATTTGAAGTATATTTCTGAGAAGTACATGTAGTATACTTCTGAGAAGTAAAGGAAAAATAAACTGAAAGTATACTTTCTTATTTTTAGTTTAAAAGAAGTATACAAATGGCACACTTGAATAAACTTCTTTTTCGTAAGGGTTGGTCTGGATGGAACTTAAGTTCTCTAACATCAACAGGAGGCACTTATGTTCTCATCTTGGATCAGAATACAAAAACTCCTTCTAATAATCATATTTTCTGATATTAGACTGATTACAGCTGATCTTAGACCTGCAGATTATCTCGGTGTGAGAGTTCCTTGCCTCTTGTTTTGTTTGTGTCCTGTATTTGGGTCAGCAGTTTGCTCTGATAAATAGGCACATGGACAGGACCGTATTTGGGGTGCCGGCGTATGCCCTACTCCACTTCGTAACTCCACTGGGGCTGTTTTATCCAGGATATTCATACTGTTATTCATATTACACCCTTGATAATACCTTTTTTAATTACTTTGATAGGAATTTTGGTCTAGTGTGAAATCCGCTTCCTTTGTCCAGGGAAAGCTGGATTTTGGCCATGTGTATGATATTGAAAAGGGCACTCTCACACACTCATAGCTGTCTTCCCAAAACACACACACAAGTGTATATGTATTTCCACTCCTTGTGAACAATTTTGAGTTTGTCATGCAAGCCTTGTGGGGGTTAATTTTGTGTCATGCCAATGTTTAATGTCCCTGACATCGGAAACAGCTTAAATGAAATTACATGGGGGTGTTATTGATGTTTTTTATCGTTAAAAATAAAATGTGAAAATATATTGAACTTGTTAACCACAGACCTTAAAGGGATACTCCACCTTTTTTTTTTTTTTTTTTTTTTTTTTTTTTTTTTTTTTTTTTTTTGGAAATAGGCTCATTTTACAACTCCCCAGAGTTAAACAGTTGGGTTTAACAACTGTTTAACTCTGTTTTTACAGTTTTTACCGTTTTCAAATCCATTCAGCCGATTTTCTGATATTTAGAAGAGTGGAAAAAAAGTGGAATATCCCTTTAAGTCTAGATCTGTCTCACTTCATTTGAATTCTTAACCTACATCTTAAATTCTTCTTTATTATGAGAATAAATAAATAACAGAAAGAACAGCAGTCATCAGAGACACCTCAAAAAATGTACGATGCAAGAATTTTTTTTTTTTTTTTTTGTAATTTTATTTTATTAGACCCCATAAAATTCACCATTCGTTTGATTGACAGGCGATCTGACCTATCATAACTCTGAATCTGCCATTTTGTCCAACAAACAAACCAGACAGGAGAGCTTGAACGTCTGTCCGTGGTTGAAAAAACATACCTTCTGATGTTCATTCATTTTTATTTCTTGCTATTGCTAGTGGGAAGTGGAAGTAATGATCGATTCATTTCCCCCTTGGAATGAGTTGCTACATTGATCTGTCACGAGTCACGACACATTAAAGAGCCACAAAACTGTATTGACTGAATTTCTTATAAAATTACAAAATTTGTAAGCTGAGTGTTTCACAACGTCAAAACTATCCCCGTTCACTGAAAGCACAGCAGATGGCGATGTTACTGTGTAAAGTAACACTTTGTGCCTACATTGGTTTAGTTTTTTTTTTTTTTAACTTGTACTTTGAAACCTGTTTTAAAAAATTTGAGTTTTCAGACCCCCGAAAACGCCGTCGTGTGAATCAACGACCAAAGCCATAAAAGGATCTCCGTTTTTAGAGTTGAAAACGTTGTTGTGTAAACGGCCCCTAGGTGTGCTAGTGTACTCCTAAAAGTTATATTTATAACCAAATTAAATAAAATATAAATATTTTAATAAAATTTAAAAAAATCAAAAATCAAATAATATAGTAAAAATAAAACAAAAATTATTAAAATGCAAATAAATCTTCCTGTGGGGCAAAACTTTTTTTTTTTTTTCAATAAAACAGAATGTAATGTGTTTTAATTTGCTTTTCATTTATCCCATTGTTTGTTTTTCCCCTTTCAGATGGCTTTTTCCATTCATTGGCCATATGGGCATCTGCACTTCCACTGGAGTGATCCGTGATTTTGCAGGGCCATACTTTGTCTCAGTAAGTATGTTTTACATGCACGATTTGTCTGTCCAAGAATGCATGAGAAAGTGCTTGAGTGGATATTTTAAATACAAGTTGCACATCACCTGTTTCAGAGAAAACGCACAATGCCTATCACATTTTACTATTAACAGGAGGATGATGTCTAGATATAATAACATGATCTAAGATATGTCTGTCTGACTTTTTTGTTCAATCCTCTCGAAAAATTTTAAAAAAGTTCAAGGAATTGCTAAAATAGTCCCACAAAAAATGATTTTCCGTTTACTTCCGCAATGCATATTTTATCGGGTAACATTAGAAAGGTAAAAAATATAGTTTGTTCTTTGTCCATTGTAAGCTTTTTAGATGCACGAGAATCCCAAGTATTAATTTTCCGGGTTTTAAAGGGATAGTTCACCCCAAAATTGCAATTTTGTCGTCAACTTATCGAGGGCTTGGAGTAGGGCTGCATGCAAAATTTAGTTTTGTCTCTCCTGTAAAGTTTGTTAAAAGCCACTTACGCCCCTCTGGCTCCAAGCCCTCGTTATGTTGTTGACTTTTGTTCATCCTCGGAGCATAAATGAAAATATTTTTAATATTCTTTTATCATTTTCATCCATCTAAGTCCTCCGGAACATGATTGGGATAGGTTTGGCCATGATTGGGCTATTTTTATTTTTTATTAGCCCTTGTTGTATAGACCTGGCAATCCTGAATGATTAACACATCCTCAACGAACACTGATTGTTGTGACCGTAGTCATCACGGTCAAATTTAATTTAACGTATTTCCATTGAAAAATATGCTGTTAAATTTACAAGTGTCCTTTCTCTGAGCTTCAATGAACATGTTTGCAATCTCCTTTTCATAAGTGGAGAGAGAACGCATGCCCACGGTTGCCATATTGCATGAATTGAGTATAAAACTGGGAACATTTCCCAGTTGAGTTGGTTTAAATCTCGCACTACATGCTTTGGATCTCTTTCAGTCTGGCAACAATGAGCTTGTTGGAAGCCCTTGGAGGCTTGTTACTGCTGTCTTATAAATGACCTGTGTAGACTTTGTTCCTGTCTGACCTCAACAATGCCAAAGAACCTTTTGTTGACATATAAAGATTCTTCCTGGTTTCAGCAAAGAATGTTCCTCTCGATAAAGGTCTCTATCATTTGCTATACGTTTCGTTCATAAGTGGATTGTTTCAGCTTCCACTAGAAATCGCTGGAAAGTTCAATACACTCTCAGAAAAAAGGTACAAAAGCTGTCACTGGTGCTGTGCCTTTTCAAAAGGTAAACTTTTGTCCATTTTAGTTGCTAATATGTACATTTTAGGTGCTAGTATGTGCATTTTAGGTGCTAATATGTACATTTTAGATGCTAATAAGTACATTTTAGGTGCTAATATGTGCATTTTATGTGTTAATATGTACATTTCAGGAGCTAATATGTCTATTTTAAGTCCTAATATGTATATTTTAGGTGCTAATAAGTGCATTTTAGGTGCTAATATGTGCATTTTAGATGTTAATATGTGCATTTTATGTGTTAATATGTGCATTTTACAGGTGCTAATATGTACATTTTTAGTGTTAATATGTACATTTCAGGAGCTAATATGTACATTTTAGGTGTTAATATGTACATTTTTAGTGTTAATATGTACATTTCAGGAGCTAATATGTCTATTTTAAGTCCTAATATGTATATTTTAGGTGCTAATATGTACATTTTAGGTGCTAATAAGTACATTTCAGGAGCTAATGTGTCCATTTTAAGTGCTAATATGTACATTTTAGGTATTAATATGTACATTTTAGGTGCTAATATGTACATTTTTAGTGTTAATATGTACATTTCAGGAGCTAATATGTCTATTTCAGGAGCTAATATGTCTATTTTAGGTGCTAATATTTTCATTTTAGGTACTAATATGTACATTTTAGGTGCTCATATGTACCACCAAGGTACCAATATGCAGCCTTTGGGTACAAAAGTGTACCTTTTGAAAAGGTACAGCTTTTGTACCTTTTTTTCTGTGCGTTTATTTGCCACCAGCTTCCTCGGTGACCCTGCACAAGCACATCCTGTTATTTCCATCAGAAAAATCTATACCGGCGCAGAGCAGAGGAGGAATCCTGTCTGTAATAGGACTGAAAGCTACACCTCCATCCTTCTGCTCCGTGGGCTTTCTGTCCCGATAATTGTAATGTTCTCGGCCGCTTCCAGAGTTCTGGATTCTTCTTGTTAAAAAAGAGAGGTCACCGTCAGGGCAACTCTATCTCATAATGCACTTAGTATTAAATGGAACTACAAAATAGATCCGACCGCTTGTTCATAAGAATCCTGAACTAATTTGAACTAGCTGTTCAAACAAAAGTTAAATTGATCAAGCAGTTCTCTTCAGGTCTGGCCACTCTGTCAGAAAGGAGCAGAAGTGAAATGTCTTGGGTAGAGCAAGGCCGGTAACATGAGAGGATGTGGTTATTTGACCTGCGGTGATACGGGCCAGCACACATTGAAGTGCACTACAATCTGCTGCACTTAACTCCTCTTGTGGCTGACAGGGACTAAAACACGTCTCGCGTGTGGAACGAGCCGGAGAAGTGGCTTGAGCTTAGTTCACCGTGAGTTCAAGAGTTACCTAAACTGATTATTATGATTCAGAAGATTATGTATATGACGCTTGCACATTTGCACATTGCTTTGTTGTTGTTGCTTGTGTCTTTTACCACATTGCTTGTTTTTTAGGGTGTTGTTAAGCAGTTGCTTACTGATCTAGATCTGAAGAGTGTACCAAGTCTGTACACTGCAAAAAATTAAAAATAGGATCGTTCACTTTCAAAAGTAGATATCTTTTTTTTTTTTGTCTGTACAATGCAAGTCAATGATCACCAAAACTGTTTGGTTACCTACATTTCGTTTTGCTTTTTTAAAGATTTTAAAGGAGTAGTTCACTTTAATAAAAAAAAAAAAAAACTTTTGCTGATAATTTACTCGCCCCCATGTCATCCAAGATGTCCACGTCTTTCTTTCTTCAGTCGAAAAGAAATTAAGGTTTTTGATGAAAACATTACAGGATTTTTCTCCATATAATGGACTTCAATGGGGTCCAAAACGGTTCAAGGTCCAAAAGACAGTTTCTTAATGTATATTAAATTTAATTTTGTCTTTCTATTCTAAACAAGGGCAAAAATCATCTAGTGCAGTAAGACAAAATATTATTGTATTCAAATCAAATAAAAATACATATGAAAAAGTCCAAAATGTCCAATGAACTTTGACAAAGCAATATTTAAAACACTTAATAATTCATTATACGTTACTTTAGATGCCGTTTTATTGTGTAGAGCTGTTTAAAGCATGTAATGGATTTGAATGGGCTGAAATAGACTTTGTTACAGTTGCTATTGAAGGGGCTTTTGTTGCCATTGGTCTTGTGGTGCTGTCAGGCAATTAGTGCTGTCATCATGATGTCACCTCTGCAGTCATTAGTCACATGGCCTGGCAGAGAATTGAGCTGCCATGAGCAAAGATGGCTGATTTCAAGAAACACACTTGAGTTGAGTGGCATGCTAACGGATAGCTCCAGGTAATATACATCTCTCTGGGATGCTGGATCCCACGGGCATGAATTTACAATTAGATCTGTCCGGAAAGAGGGATATGTATGGAAATGTTTTTTTCTGTCACAGAATAAAAAAAAACACTAATTGTGACTTTATTTTATCTCACAATTCACTGACACATACACACACACAAACACATACATGCAGAAATACATATATATATATATATATATATATATATATATATATAGTGTATTTGATGTTTATTTACAATTGGTTTACATTGTAAATTTACCAATTAATCAATTTACATGTGCTCAGTATAATTTGTATACTTTGTTTATTTTGTTTGTTGATGTGTTGATATTTTTTCTCTTTTTTCTTAGAATTGTGTTTTAAACATTGCAATTCAGCAATGTCATTGCAATTCAGACATTCTTTATCAGAATTGTGTTTTAGACATTTATCTTTGTCAGAATTGTTTAATATACACTTGAATTTGCAAGGAAAACCAGAAGTGTGAGATATAAACTCGCAAGTAAATGTAATAGCGACTGTTTTATCTCACATTTTTATTTCTTGTAATTCCACGTTCATTTCTTGCAATTCTAAATTTCATATCTTGCAATACTGACTTGTATTTCTTGCAAATCCGAGTTATATCTAAATTAATAATTAATTCATACTTTTTTGTAATTTTCTTAGGAAAAAAAAATTCTAAATTTTGAGATAGAAACTTTATTTTTAGATAAAGTCCTTTTTTAAAGAAAATCCATGGTGGAAAGAAGCTTCCCTACATGTTATGATTTTTTTTGTTTGTTTGTTTGTTTTGTTTTTACACACATCGGCTTTGGGTTTTGTTGTTGTTAGTTGTCTCATTGTACACACATACAGAGTGTAACAATCTATTTCGCTGCTCTTGCAGGAAGACAACATGGCGTTTGGAAGACCAACAAAGTGAGTCTGTGTTGAGTTGCTCAGCATACTCAAAACATTACTTTTCTTGTTGGGAATCAACCTATGAATGGCTTGCTACTAGTTGGAAAACCAGAAAGTATTCATGATCCACGAAATTACACAAATTAAGATCCGCCAAAAAATGGAAATGACTTCATTGACGGCATTGTGGGGTTAAGCTTCATGATGCATACTAGCCATATATTTACAGCTGTATTTATGTGCTTTATTCCCAGGTACTGGATGTTAGATGTAAGTAAAGTGCATGCCAGTAGTGGATCTAACGCCTGGGACACAGCAGTTCACAATGCATCAGAAGAGTATAAACAGAGAATGGTAATATACGTGTTTCGCATTAAAAGTGTTGAAATCCATATTGTACAGATTCTTTGAGCATCCATTCAGAGAAACTGCTGTTTATCTCTGCTTTCCCTCCAGCACAACCTTTGTTGTGACAATTGTCACTCGCATGTTGCCATGGCACTGAACTTGATGCGCTATGACAACAGCACCTCGTGGAATATGGTCAACCTCTGCCTGCTGTCACTCATTCACGGCAAACACGTCAGGTGAGATTAATCCAGATTTGTATATTTGAAAATCTTTTGCAAATAGGTTTTCACTTTAGTTTGCCAAATTACAAGCTACTTCTTGTTATTATTATATCTGACTAGACTCAAATTATGACAAGTAATCCTTTTTAAAAAGTAGTTAGCTACACCAGGATACTTTCAAACGTCTTTTTTTTTAAATTATCTTATACTTTTATTCAGCACGGACGCATTAAATTGATCTTAAGTGACAGTAAAGACCTTTACGAACTCCCAAAGCAGGCTTGAAATGACGCCACGCCAGTTCATTCTTTGATTTCATTTCAGGTGTATCTATGTCATAGATGCATGCTTCTGTTATTATGTGCTATGCTAAAATATCTTCATTGTTTGTATTACTCTTCCTGTGTTTGTGGCCATTTTATATCCAAAATTCAATTTTAAATCCTATCCGTAATTATAGGACTGACTCTGTTTTGGGTGTCAGCTAAAAAGACTTCTACATGGCACCTGAAGCTGCCCACTCAAGTCTAATAAGGGGTTGCTTCAGACACTACTATTTATTTCTGAGAACACAGAATATGTGCATTGACCCCCAAGGGACTGAGAGGGAATCACGCAAGGATAGACTGTCATGGCGTCTCTCACTGGCACCCAGGTGTAATTGAAAGCGTTGCATTGAGGGCATGTTTCTCCTGGCCCAAAGTGTGCAGTGTGCATCCATCACTGTCTATGATGAGAAGTCTACTGTCAGTCACTGAAAGGAACTGCTGGTATGAACTCATGATGCAGCTATTTTGTCCTCTAACTTGTAGATGCACATTGTTGTGGTTGCATCAGAATATAGAGTAATTGGTTCGTAGACGGCCAGAATTTCAACTATCAGCATGAGGTCTGGTCCAATTTGCAACATATTCTAATTTTGCAGCATATTCTACTCTTATATTGTCAAATTTAATGCGATTTCACGATAATAATTTGTCTTGTTTTTCACCTTGGATTTAACCTTTAACTTTCATTTTAGAAAAGTGCACTTTGTAATAATGGCAAACTTAAAAGTAGCGTACATTTAAAAACATTAAAAACAACAAAACAACCTGCCGGAAAGCATCTTTTGCAGTGATTTTTGTGTGAGCATATCAGTGAGCTAAAATATAATGCGATTTATGAAGGATTGTTCCAGTGCGCACATGCATGCAACCATTGCATACAAACCCAAAATTCTCGGGACCGCATCATGTGTCCAAATGTAAAACTTAATAAATTGATTTTAAAGTTTAAAATCTTTAAACAGGGCTTTAAGTGTAAAATACCAAACTTGTCCTTTAATATTGAAATATCTGGGGCCAGATTCACAATATATTCTTAAATCTAAGCTACACTGTGTAGCTAAAAACACTTAGTTCTTTCAAAAATATGTGTGCTCATTAATGTATATTTACGTTCAAGTAATAAAGTATTCTCGTGAGTGTGTAATATGCCATTGAAAATACATACGGGTAAGGGGTTCTAATGTCAGTCGCCTCCATCTTGAAAGTACATTAGCCAAAGAGGGACATACCCGTTAATTCAAGCGTTTACGTTTGAGTTAACACTCATGGACGAGGTCGAACTGGAAGCCATGTTAATCTTGGACTACATTGGCCACCGTAGGAGTTAAAACGAAATCGGAATTGAGAGGAACAGAAAGTAATATTCACTGGATAGTCATATACCTTTTCACCACTAGATGGGGGTAAAAATTACACAGTGTAGCTTTAAGAATAAAATTCTTCTTATTTTCTAACTTATTTTCTAACTCCAAAAAACTCTTATTTTTAGGGATGCACGATATATCGGCCAGCATATCGGTATCGGCCGATATATGTTCATTTTTAATGTTATCGGCCTGGTAAGAAAATGTGGCCGATATATTAAAGCAGATAAATAATGTATTATTCCCTTCAGCTGAGACACTTGTTGAGCACTGTTTATGTTTTTGAATTTCTTGAAATATGATTGAAATCTCTTCAAAAAATGAAAATACGGTTCGGTACAACTACGCAAATCTCTCATATCGGCTATACAACACTATAACATGGACGTGGATTTAATTGTGAGACTTTTGTTTTTGTAATCAGGCTCTCAAAATTAGATAAAAAATTGGATTTAAGTTTATCGGCCGATATATCGGTTATCGGCTTTCAAATATAAAGAATTATCGGTTATCGGTATCGGCCAAAATGTTCATATCGGTGCATCCCTACTTATTTTTAAAACTTTTATTTCTTAAGATTGTTCGTAAAGGGATAGTTCACCCAAAATGTCTGGCATCATACTCACATTATACTGTATCAAACCTGTATAAATGTCTCCAAGGAAGATTTTTTTGAAGAATGTTGGTATCCAAACAGTTTTGGGGCAGGATTTTATTTCCATACTACGGAAGTCAATGGTACAGCTGGACAACTCTAGTTGTCTCTCATGTGAGTAAATCATTATGTGCTTCTGTCTTCCTACAGTTGCGTTGGTTTGCTGAAGACCTGGCTTCCTTTCTGCATCTTAACCAGTGTCATCCTGGCCGTCGCCCTGTCTCTAAACCTGCGATGACCGATCCGGATCAGATAGAGGTGCGGCGGCTCAGGGTGAGTGTCCGGCACCCATCGGGGACACATATCTTCAGCTTAAGGGGGACTCGTACGAACGTCAACTTCAAGTCCGGCTCTTCAGAAGCTACACGTCAAACATCAAATGCTAGACCTCTTTGTCGTAGGGTAGAGACTGCACACACACACACACACACACACCATGGCTTCAACGTCTTGTGGTGATGTAAGAAACGCTCCTCTTCCAAAGGCATGACTTTAGTGTCTCTCGTGAGGGTTATGGTGCTCATTCATCGTTTGGGGAGATTCTGATCTCCAAACTATAACTATAAACCTGTGTTTAGGACAAGTAACACTACTTATATTGTCTTCTATTTTGAATATAACTTGAATATTTCTGAGGATGATATGCTCTTTCTTTATTGCAGAATCAGTGCATTATATTTTGAGATATACTGGAAGATGGATTTCCCTTCTCACCATGTACATTGAAAAAAATTATATGCTTTATCTAATCAATAAAATTGTGGCAACAGATTACAAGCAATATTATTAATTAAAATTTGTACAAATTTTAATTAATTTGAACAAATTAGAATTGAGTAACAGTTAATCAAATTAATATTCTATTTAATAAATAATATTGCTTGTATTCTGTTGCCACCGTTTTATTGGTTAGATAAAGTATATTCATTTTTACAGTGTATATGAAAGCTTATTTTAATTATTGTTTTTATTTAAGAACACACTTTGTCGTTTTATTAGCAAGGCTAACCATCAACAAATATAGCTTTTGTTTTTAATATTGTAGATTGGCATGCTTTAAAGTGTTGTTGTTTTTTTTTGTGCACATATGCACATACAAAATTTGATAATTAATGCATAAGCAAAGTCTTGTATTCATTATAGATTTAAAGCATTATTTGCACCAAACTATTGTTACCAGCTATATATTACATTTTCCAGTTATTATATTCCTATTTGTGACATTCCTAAGGGAAAATGTAGGCTGGGAATTGACTTTATCCACTGGGAATTGATGTTCCATAGCAGATTGAATGCAACAGGTTGGCATTGGTGACTTTAGCTTAAAATGGCCGTTGATTTAGTCGGTTAATTTGAGGAATTGCTACAAAGACAGACATTTATGCCCGGTTTCACAGACATGGCATTGATAAATCCAGGATTAGGCCGTAGTTCAATCAGGGCAGCTTTTTAAAATGTGCCTTAAAAAAAAGAAAAAAGAAACATTATTGGTGTGCATCCTGAGACAATGTAATAGCTCTGACGTATTTTAATATATCTCAGTGCAAGTTTATTTCAGTTAAAACAGCTCAGTGCATTATAGTTTGGGACTAGGCTTAAGCCGTGTCTGTGAAACCAGGGGTTATTTTTCTACAGGCGATCCTAAAGGAAAATAATTGAGGTTATCATTTGTTGCTAAGTCTTTGTTGTCCTGAGAATTGACATTAATTGCAGCAGGTTTGGATGTTCTGTTTGAAAGCTTTACTCTTTCAATCATGAAACTTTTAATGTTTTCAAATTTTGTTTTTAAAAGAAATATCAAAGGGTATAATGGCATAGTGTTATGCCTAGTCTAACAATCATTTCACACACACACATATCTTCATAAATAAACACACACAAACACACACTTATATATATATATATATATATACCTGCGTGTATGTGTGTCATTATTTCGCCCCAAGATCGAAATAATTTTTGTTCAAAGTAAATGAAGCCTATTTTTATATTATCTTGAGAATGTTTTTTTTTTCATGGCAAATAAGCACATTTCCTACATGACAAAAACTAATATGATATTATTGTATATGAAGACTTACCACGTTAAATCTACACTCAAAAAAGTGAACTAGGAAGGTTGTGCACTTTATTTAGTTTACTTATAATAATTGTGTTTTTTGACTTGAAATGTTTTTTCTATTAAGGTGTATGTAATTATGTCTCAACTTAAAAGTACAAAATCCTAACGCGTTGTCTAAACACAAACCATTTATGTTGAGTAAAAAATTCGTACATCCAGAGGGTGGCAGTATAGAGCGAGACAACTGACACTTTACCCGAACTTAATTTGATTGTGTTCAATCTGCTTAAATATACGTACAACTGAAGTTTACTTAATCCGTTTGTGTTGGATTACATGATTGATTTGCGTTGCGTTAACTGAAACTGGGCGGTGCTTGTTAGTTCCCAGCATGCTTTGCATTAGGTTGAATTAAGAGAGAATAAATGTTAAAATTAAGTGTTATTTTATCTTTTTTTGAGAAATTTAGAAAAGGCGAAGACTTGATAGTGTGTAATTGTGTTTAATGTAAAATTACATTGGAATTATTAAACCATTTAAATTACCATTGTGGAGAAGAGTGGAGAATTTTGTTTGGTTGTCGATTTTAGACATTAATATGTGCTACTGCAAGCAAATAGCTAGCTATAGTCTATCAGTTTATAATATGTCACTAAAATAAATGAAATGAAATATAAATGGATGAATGAATATAACAAAATGCCTTAATCATGTCAGGAAGCCTTTAAAATTTCACGTTGAGACTACTTTAACTGGGTCGGTTAAAATTACTTAATTTAATGATGTTGAAGTTACATGAACGCATTACGTTTTGTAATCCAGCTGACGAAAAAAAAATTAAAGCAAAGGGGGAGGAGATTTTTTTCATTAAAATGAATTAATTATCCTAATAACATGCTTTATTTTTTTATGCAAAATATGTTCACTTTTCCTTCTGATTGTGGATGTAAATGGCCTGTTTTTGTGAGATTCACTCGTACATCTGAATTGGACCTGATTGTTGTGTAACCAGGAAGAAAAACAAAACTGAAATCAAATTGGATCCTAAATAATATTACATTATTTATTTTTTTGTAGTTTTTTGTAGTTTATTTTTTTTTAAAGTTTTTATTTTATTTTATTTTTTATTTTATAGTAATAACAGGTGTTTACAGTGTCATGAAAAAAAAATAGATATCCTCCTAATATAGTAGGCTTTATTTTCTTTACGTTTCCTCGTGATTTTGGGTGATCTGAATGGATCTGATCGAGAAAAACAAACCTGAGGTCAGATTGGTTCCTCTGGATCGAATCGAACCTCCATTTACTGTAATCTAGAACACAGAAATCCTGTTAGAGGTCTGTTTGCTCTTCTCCGCTGTCGCATTGAACTGCGCATTTAGTTTCAGACACATCGAATCCTGCTGTAATCTTAGACTATGGTCTGGACACCGAATCCGTTTCCATGGCTCCTGCGCGTAAATGAAATCCCCTCTTTGTTTGGACTCAAAAGGAAAAATCACTGAACTGCCCTCTTCTACCTATTTCTCTCTTCTCACATTTTTTTCTTTTCTTTACACTCTCTCGGCCTTTGGAAGTATTGCCAAGAGCAGCAGGTAGCCAAGTGTCTTGAGCTCTTTGGAGACTCTTCAGCTGAGGAGTGTGTGGCCCCTGCTGGCACCAGCTAGAGCTGATCAGATTAGAAAGCCCGTGTGAAGTGTGACGCTCTTACCAACGGCTTTCCTGTCTTCAAAGACGTGAACTAGTGGATCAGAAGCACATTTAACTGTTTTAATAGTCACCGCAGCCCAGAAGTTCCCATTTCCTGTTTGTAATCCCTAAAGACGATGGCATTCCACAGGTTTATACTTTTATAAAACATTCATTCATTCACTGAAATCCTGTCTATAATATGTAAAATGTTAAAATGCACATGCCACTTTCCCCAAATAGTGGACACACTGTAAAAATGAATATGCTTTATCTGATCAAAAAAAATTGGCAACAGATTACAAGCAATTTTATTAATTAAATTTAACAAATTGAGTAATAATTAATCTAATTAATTCCTTAAGAGTTAACCATTTTAAAATGAGTAAAACGACAACAACAAAAAAACATAAATTGAAGTCACCATTATGGTGATCGGTGTTTGTTTGAAAATGACGATTCTGCTTGTTAACATCCGGTGTCTTCAATGTTGGCAATGTAAAATAAAGAGTTATAATAAATAAATAAATATAAAATATTTAATTATTAATAATAATTATTAATTAATTATATATAATTATATTATTATAATAATTATTAATTAATAATAATTATTTAATATAAAATAAATAAATAAAGAGATATTTTTGTTATTTTTTGGTGTAAACTTTACCAATTTTAAATGGTTAACTTTTAAGGAATAATTTAATTAATTGCTCAATTCTAATTTAATTAATAATATTGCTTGTAATCTGTTGCCACAATTCTATTGATTAGATAAAACATATTCATTTTTACAGTGAGACTATTTATAAAATATTTATTTTTTAAATGAAATTAACACTTATATATGTATAACTATTTATTACAGGCTTGTGGATTTGGCTAGTTTGGGACCAATTGTTGACTTGGTTAACTTTTGTTTTCCCTACAAAAACGCAAATGAGACATTATACACTCTAAAAATTGCTGGGTTGTTTTAACCCAACGTTGGGTCAGATATGGACAAACCCAGCCATTGGATTACATTTTTTTAATTACATTTTTACCCCAGCGTTTGGGTTTGTCCATATTTGACCCAACGTTGGGTTAAAACAACCCAGCATTTTTAGCGTAGGAAAGTGGCACTTAAATATTTAATAGATTTTTTTGTTAATAGATTCCATGTTTGTGTTATTATTGGCTATTGACTAATTTACAAGTTAGCTATACTATGTGTAAAATAAAATAAAAATTGCAAATGTTTTTCTTTCAGCACTGCTGCCTTTTGCCTTTGCACAATTACTAACAAATAGACTTTTAATACTCCGAAAACTGTCACCTCAAACCTTCTGTTGCTGCATTAGTGTTGTGTGTGTTTGCGCGCGCACATGAATGTTTGCTTTTTTAGCATGTTCTGCATTGTAAAAAATGGATTGCTGTGATTATCACAACTTAAAATTCGACTTATTAGCGTGTTCGTGCTTGACTTAAAATATTAAGTTTAGCTAACTTTAGTAAAGTTGGATTTTTAAGTTATGTCAACCAATTTTAAGTTGTAATATCCAAGTACGCATGTCTGCTGCTGAGAAAGTAGGATATTGCCAATTGGTATTTAACAGTTGATAATTCTCGCTTTCTTATTTATAGATAATAATCAAATGCATTTTAATATCAGGTCATATAAGAATCTTTGTAATTATATATTTTGAACTGGCCGCATGTATTTTGCCTTATGATGTATGTGTGTTGTGAGGTTTTTTAAACCCTAAATAACATTTAACCATTCAGTAAGAGCACATTGAACAACTAAACAGGGTAAAATAAAAACATTCTCGAGGCCTTTCTTATTCCAGATGAGTTACCACGTATTTTTATATTCATAATACAATGACCTTCTACACTATTCTGCATTCAATATAAGAATGTGAAAAAGATGACTGCATGCTTTATCTGATTTCTTTTTATAAATTGTGCATCCGTTTAAAGTGGTCTACTGGTGTTTCATTGTCATTTACTTTTTAACCAATTTACTTTTTAACCAATAACTCGGTTTTAAACCGAGTTATTGAGTTGCACAATGCACAATTTCCCCATAGCCGAGTCTGTGACCATAGCCAGAAAACCAATGGCAAAAGCCAATATCCTGTCATCAAAAACCAATGGAAACATCATCTTCTAAATCATTTAAAGTTCCCAGTTTTGTATTATCATCACATTTTAAACAGATTCTGCCAACAATATGAGTTATGATATTTAATGTCTATGCATCATTGATTTCAATAAAATATGTTTACTACTACAATGTTTTTTTGAATCTTTCTGAGTGAACAAAAAACAATGTTTCAATAGCAGACATAATTAATAAACAAAAAGTTCAATAAACAGTTCAGATAGTGAACAACAACTGGTTTATCAGGTGTGCATTATATTTCACAACAAGCACTGCCTTATTCAATAAGACATTGAGTTCTATAATTTGATAAAAAAAATTATAATTCAAAAACACAAGTGGATAACACTGATTTGACTATAAATACTGATATATTTGCGTGCGTGCATTTTCCGAATATTTCAAATGTTATTTTTCTGTGCTCCTTTACGCTGTTGCCCAGGAAACATTTAATTGCGCTAGAGAACAAATGACTGACTCAGCAGGCAAAAGAACAATGTGTTGAGTTCATCGCTTATTGTCCCCCTGCACTTCAGCAGACCCCCGCCGAGTTCAAAGGATGGGGAGTCCTGTAGAGTGGGATATCACATTAATGTTCACAACTTCACCATGCAAAAACATTCAACTATTAATCTTTAGAAAACCTGAAGCCAATAACACTGACCCGAAGACGCTCTACAATGCTTTTCATCCACTTTCAAAGGCCCATAAGCATTAATAAAGGAACAAAGACTGTCATATATTCCAATAATGAATCATAATTAATTTCAAGAAGTTTTTAGGGTTAAAGAAATCAAAACTGATAAAACGCGTATAACAGTTTTTTGGGTTTTTTGGGTCTTGCAAAAGATGCTGAATTTGTTGCTTTGGATATACAACTTTAAGTTAGAACCCACAGTCAAGCTACATTTTTTTTTTTTAAAGGAATTTGTAAAAAAATAAATAAAAAATCCTATGCATGTTTTGTGTGTGAAAATATAGAAATATATTAAAATACATAAATATATAAAATATACAGTTTATCCCTTTTTTGCATCAAAATTTTGTCAGATAAATATAACCAGGTTTAGTGTTCTTCCCTCATTAAAATAAATAAATAAATAAATAAATATTATTATTTTTTATTATTATTATTATTTATGTATTTTGCATAATTTTTTATTTTTGATGGTTTAATCGATCTTATATGATCATTAAAAACAAATTCTCATGCCAACCTCCTCCGGACATCACTTTTGGCTGGTATATTATGGGTAAATCCCCACTCCCTAATTGAGAACCACTGCGTTGTCTAAAACCAAAATCCTTTGCAGAACCGAAGGAACTTTTGAACAGTTTTAAGTGTGTATTGGCACTAGTCAAATTGGAGACCTTGAGCTATACGTGAAAGATCGACTAAACTGAGAGATCTTGGATCGTCGTAATCTTTAATCGCTATTAATTAGTACTATCCATCACTGTGATGAGTGTGAGATGTGAGTGATCCTATAGT